CTTTATAAATTTTGGACATTGACTCATTTTCAGGTATGAGTTGGGAATGTTTTCTCATCCTATGGGTTGCTCTTTTCATTTCGTTGAGTTTTCTTTGCTGTGCAGTAGCTTTTCAGTTTGACACATTCTCACTTTTATTTTTTCTTTTGTTGCCTTTGCTTTTGGAGCCTGCATTTTCTTTTTATAAAGTCTCCAGATTCTATAATTTTTTTTTCTATTCATGCTCTTCATTGTTTGTGCCTTCTCTCAGCTTTCTAGATGTCTTACTATTAATAGAATCAATGTTGATCAAGCTATGATTCCCCTTATTATATATTTGCTATGTCATTTGTTTCTAGTCTTAACTTCCTCCAACTTTACTTTGGCTAATTTTGCTGTCCTTTAACTTCTTGAGATTAATGCTTGTTTATCTTACTAATTTTGCCCTTTCTTTCCTAACTTATGTATTTAAGGCTACAAATTCCCCTCTAAATATTGGTATAGCTCTCTCAAAAAAGTTTTTCAAGTTTCCCCCTAAATTTTGTCACTGCATCTTACAAGCTGATATTGTTTTGTTTTCATTCATTTCAAAATATTTTCTAATATCTCTTTTTTGTTTGACTCATAAGTTATTTAGAAGTACCTTGTTAAATTTCCAAATACCTTGGAATTTTCAAAGTACTTTTATAGCATTGATCTCCATTTTATTCCATAAACATATAGTTCTTTTCCTTTTAATTATATTGAGACTATTTTGAACCCCAAAATAATCTGTTTGTGAATATTCCACATGCACTTTAAAAAGTGTATATTCTGCTATAGTTTGGTGCAGTTCTCTACAAATGTCAATTAGGTCAAGCAGGTTGATATTATTCTACAACTCTTTTACATCCTTACTGATTTTCCATCTATTTATTCTATCAACTATTAAGAGGCAAAACCTTTAACTATAGTTGAAGATTTTTCTATCTTTCCAGTTTTGTCAGTTCTATCAGTTTTCGGCTTCATATATTTTGAAGCTCTGGATTTGAAATGCCATTTTTCACATACAATATGTATTAAATTAAATGGGCTTCTCAGGCGGTGCTAGTGGTAAAGAACCCGCTTACCAATGCTGGAGACTTAAGAGATGGACCTGGGTCAGGAAGATCCTCTGGAGAAGGACATAGCAACCCACTCCAGTATTCTTGCCAGGAGAATCCCATGGACAGAGGAGCCTGGCAGGGACTAGTCAATAGGGTTGCAAAGAGTCAGACATGACTGCAGCCACTTAGCACGCACACACATGTATTAAATATTCACAAATATATATGAGTCTATGGAGTCTATTTTTTGACTATTTTGTTCCACCAAACCATTTATGTATCCCTATACCAGTATCACATTGTTTTAATTACTGTGACTTTGGACAATACTTTGATTATTGCTAAGGCAAACGCTCTCCCTTCCTCACAATTAATTTTTCATTACAAAATATCATGGCTTGTGCATTTACTATTCATTCAGAATATCAGCATCGGTTGGTCAAGTTCCCGGTAAGTTTAATCTTCAGTATTTTATACATTTTATAAAATATATATGCTACATACCCCTATTGCTCAGAGATGCTTTTCCCATTAGAGATATATATCAGAAGTTGGCCAACTTCTTCTTTAAAAGGTCATGATGATAAATATTTCAGACTTTATGGGCCATATGATCTCTACCACCTTGCCACTGCCACTGCAGCACAAAAGCAGCTAAGGACAATATACAAAGAAACGGTCATAGAACTCTATTTACAAAAATAGGCAATAGGTCAGATTTGGCCTGCAGGCTAGTTTGCTAACCCTTGATATAAAGAAAGATTAATTTTTGGTGCATAGATATCTTTTTATCCATACTTCATAATGAGTTTTCTAATACTATAGTTGAGTTCACTATTTCTAGGTGGGCAAAATATCCAAACAAAAGATTATATGTTCCAATTTTCTAACATTTATGCCAATTATACCATCTTGTAATCTTAATGCATTGCTAGATAACTCTAGAGCTGCTGCTGCTGCTAAGTTGCTTCAGTCGTGTCTGACTCTGTGCAATCCCAGAGACGGCAGCCCACCAGGCTCCCCCATCTGGGATTCTCCAGGCAAGAACACTGGACTGGGTTGCATTTCCTTCTCCAATGCATGAAAGTGAGAAGTGAAAGTGAAGTCGCTCAGTCATGTTCGACTCTTCGCGACCCCATGGACTGCAGCCTACCAGGCTCCTCTGTCCATGGGATTTTCCAGGCAAGAGTACTGGAGTGGGATGCCATCGCCTTCTCCGAACTCTAGAGCAGTACTCACCTATAGAGCTAACAGGAGGTACTGTTTTGTTAATCAGAAGACTATTTTTTCATCTCCAAATATGATGATGCTTGCTAGTAGTGTTTAAAAAATGTTGACGTTTCAGATATGATGGTTGCATCAGATATCTTTTCAGATTCCTTCTAATTCAAATCGTTTCATTATGAGGTCATTAGTTATTAGTTTTTTATTGTGGCAGTGGACACAATGGAGTTCCCCACTGAACGATTCATCATCCCATCGCTGACTTATTTAATGAATACTTTCCAATCTTTTGGTTTAGTTACCTGAACTTCAAGACAACATTGAAGAAAATTAATTTTTCCTGGAGATTGAGAAAAAATAAGTAGAAAGTGAAACTTATTTGTTTTAAAGTTATGTAAGGTGTTTTCCTTGAAATTTTTCAGTATAAATAAATCACTGAAGTGACCTTTGAGTAACAATTGTAAACTTAATTGAAAATTCAATAGTCCTTTAGATAAATTCGGGGTGAAAGGTCCAAAAGAAAAATAAATTGGTAAGACTTACATGAGCATAAAATCTACATTTATTTCTGAAAAGTCTGTGTCCAATACCTTTAGATAAATTCGGGGTGAAAGGTCCAAAAGAAAAATAAATTGGTAAGACTTACATGAGCATAAAATCTACATTTATTTCTGAAAAGTCTGTGTCCAATATATAAATTCACCAAGAACATATGATTTAAACTATGTATTTAAAGTTGAAAGCTAACATGTACATATGTGCTTATATTTAAATGTTCTAAAATTTCCTCTAAATAAGCATTTATAGACTCATATAGGTGTTAGTGGGAGTTTCATATTCATATCCTAGGTAAAAATTGATTTATTATTCGTATAAAACTTAGTATTTCAATTAGTCAAAAATTTTCAATTCAGGATTCACTTCCCCAAAATGAAATAAAAACAAATGCAATTAGCATTTTCATATTTACTTATTTCTCTGAAAAATTAAAATTAGTCCAGCTATAAAAATATGAGGCACACATTAAAGAAGAAACATGTTTACCATCAAGAATTGTGGAAATTTTCTTTATATGAACATTTCAAGGTCCAAATAATAAAAATACTTCAGGTAATACATAGTAAATCTTTCAATTTAAATAATAGCATAGGATCTTTTTCAGAAATATTATTGTACATTATATTTATTATTTTACTATGAGAGAAAATTAGTAATATAAATATTAAAAGCCAATCATCAAAATTAATGTTTAGCATAGATTATTATTTACAAAAACAATGTAAATAGGTAAAATCATCAATTCATTTAATATAAATTACATTTCCAGCATCTAATTATTTTTAAAATGAGAAGTATCAATTTTAATTCAATCTCTTCAAGTGTTCATTCAGCTAAGGGAACAAAATAAGCTCTTAAAAATTCAAGACTTATGTATTAATATTAGAAACTTTCTCAGTACAACGCAAAGACTACTCTGATTTCAACTGAATTACATCATACAAAGACATGTATCACCTGCTTTATAGTTTATAATCAAGTATAACTGGTCACTAAAATTCCTTGACAAAAATATCACTTTAATTGTATGAGGCAAAGTCCTATAATAAAATGAATTTAATAATGGCCACATCTTTTCAAAAATAGAATATGGAAGTTTTCATTTTCACAACTATGAATTTGGTTCTCCAAAATCTGGTTCCCAAAGCCAACTTCTAAATGTTATGGCAGAGGTGGGGCAGTAATGGAAATAAATGATTTAATGGAATGCTGAAGAATAAAATAATAATCATAGATTTTAGTTTGAAAAATATATCTGGCGTAACAGATACCTAGAAGTATGTAATAAAGCCTATATCAAGTTTATTGCCCTCTAAAGCTAAAGGGCAGAGATCAAGAGGCAAGTAAAATGTAATGTTTGCTTTTAACAAAGCAGACTAATATGTTAAGTGTTAGGGTGGGATAGGAAAGAACTCAAGAACGGGCAAAAATTTCCTCTTGGACTTTCTACATAAACATCTATTTTAGTTTTGGACTGTTCACCAGTGTGCTCAAGTGATGGAGAGGAGGAAATCTGCCCACCCATGAAAATGCTTCCCAGACCTTGTCCAGCTGCTCTAGAAAGGCAGCTTGTCCTTTGAGGTCCCCGGGGCTCCACAGGAGTAGAGAACTACAGGGAAAGGGAATCCAATTTGCATAGAAAGTTGACCCTTTCTAACTGGGTTCTTCAGTGACCTAAGCTATTCAAATACCACCTAAAAGTACAGACTCTAGCTAAAAAACACGGATACATATCTGTCTTGAAAATGCTTGTAAGAAATCATGATATAATCTTGCAATCATGATTCTGAAAATTCTCAGCTCCCTCCAGCTGTCTTTCCAAATAAAATCTTAAATAATACAGTTTAAATCCTTTACTGGATTCTGTAATCTCTTCAACCAAATAGACGGAAGTTGTTTTATATAACTTTCATTTCATGGGAAAATATGGGAAGGTACTTGATATTACCTAAGTAAGATCAGTGGGTAAATGCCATTTACCCCAAACCAAATGGTACTGTCTTCAGGGAATTGTCAGAAAGTCAAACGATATACCAAGAAAGCACATTTGTATAAGCAAAGCCCTTCAAGCACAGCTTGAACATGTTCTTTAAGAGGAGGCTCCAAGCCACTTGCTAATAGTTTCAAGTGTGAGACAATAGAGGTCTTTCTTACTTTACAGTCCAAAGCTTCTGAAGAACTTCAAGTACAATTTTATAACAAAACATATACTGCTCCTAAACACACACATATATGAAAAACAATAGAATGTTAATTGAATACCAATATCCACTTTCAGAAAAGACATTTGTATTTTTAACCACAAAGCACCTAAAAAGAGTGCCTTAACCTAAAAAGAAGTGCATAAAAAAGGTTAACATTTAACCAAGAACTTCTTTATATAAATACATTTTTTAAAGCATCAGGAAGATAAACAGTAATAATATAGCCTTTGGTCTAGAATTAGTTAACTGAAGAGGGGGGAATCTGACTCAATATCAGTCTCTTTATATCTTCATTAGATGAATCAAATTTAAACTTTTTAAAGATGTAGCCTCAGATCTCTTAGGCAACCCTAGTTCAAAGGAAATACTTCATATCATTGAACATTGCCTTAAAAAACCATAAAAAAGGTTTAGGGGTACCTGTTTGTTTTCATTATCCATATTCTCTTGACCCTTCAATGATTAGTATAACTAATATCTGTTATATTTATGCTATCTTTTTTATAACATGCCAATGACTGATACTTTAGTTGCAAATAAATGTCCTAAAATTGCCATTCATAAATTTATGGAAAATAACTTTAGATACATTACTTAAATAACATGGCATTATGGACTAAGCATGTGTTTGGGCATTATGAGACTTCAGTTTCAGATTTGGTTCCTACACTTGCTCTCTGACAAAACAAACTTCATTGCTCTGAACTTGAGGTACTTCATCAATACTTATGTTTACCTCAGACAGTGAGAATTCAATGAAATTGTGTAGGTAAAAGAGCTTTACAAATTGTAATGTGCTATACAATGTATGTTACAATGTAATATTCATCCTTATATCATTATTGCTCTTGTGAGAGTTTATGTGGTGTGACTTACCTTTGTTTGGATCATTCCACAACGTTGTTCTCTCATTTGGCCCACTATATTCATGATGTTGAACTGTAACAAGATGACAGTAATTTTGTATTATCCGGAGGGGGAAAACACAAAACCCACAGATGCCTAAGGAGTACGCCACACTTCCTTCCAGTAAAAGATATCTCAAGATTTAACTAGCAAGTTCTCATTTTCAGTCATAGGAACATGTACTATGCTTAACCTAGTCTAGTGGATAAGGAAGACTTGTTCAAATGGGTTTCCAGCAAAAAGCAGGAAGCAATCATTTATAATAAGAAATGTTCTCCAAAAGAAATAACAACAAATTTGCCCCTGTGTATACTTTCTGTTCTCCAAAGGGAGAACTTAAAGCAGCATTGTGATTCTGCAAGAGTCTGAAGCATAGAAAACCTTTCCTGGCCACAACAGTAACACAGCTGTTTCTCATATAAAGAGCCCTCTCAACTCAAATGGAGACCCTGAGCAACAGTTGGCCCAACACCAGATTCTGCACCTGTGCTCGGAGACAGCACTACCCAGTGTGGTCGCTAAGCTGGTGCAGGTCTGCAAAAGGCTGTTGCTAGACCAAAGTGAGATAACTCCAGAAACTGGTAATAAGTGTTTAGAAAATCTTAACAGCAATCTGACAGTGGTGTAGCACCAAGCAGCCTCATCAATGGAACAGGATATAGACCAGATCAGGTGTTGTTCAACTTGCTTGAAAAGTCACATGTGGTGAAAGCTGAGGACCAGTCATGCACAGTAAGACCACGTGAAATTTAAGGTTTGTCCACTGTCAACTATCATCCAAAAGTACATAAAAGTCAGAGAAAATTTAAGTATTCCTTTATTTTTATAACTTTTCATTACTATAACTTAAAATTTTAATTAATCCTTTAAATATTTTTATATTGAAATAACTATAGATACATAGTAAGTTGCAAAAAATGTACAGGGATAGTCTGCGTATCTTTTCACCTAGTATTATACCACCTTATACAACTAGAGTATAATATCAAAACCAGGAAACTGACATTGGTATAATTTACAGCCTTTTCAGATTTTGCCAGTTTTACATGCAATCATTTGTCAGCATAGGCATACATGTGTTATTGTATACAAAGTTATCACATGTGAAGATTCATGTAACTGCAACCACAACCAAGATGCATAACTATACCACCTTCCTCCTGTTATCTATTAGAACTACCCACCCACTGCAATCCTCAACCCTTGGTGACCAGTAATCTGTTCTGAATCTCTACAGTTTTGTTGTTTCAAGTGGATTACATAATGGAATCATGTAATATCCAACTTTTTGAGACTTTTTGTCATTGCTAATTGTTTGAGATTCATGCAAATTGAGTATATCAATAGTTCATTCCTTTTTATTACTAAATAGTATTCCACAGTATGGATGTGTTGAAGGACATTTAGATTTTTTTTCCAGTTTGGAGCAATGATAAATAGATCTGCTATGAACACATACATACAGGTTTTTATGTGAACAGAAGCTTTCATTTCCATGGAATAAACACCCAAGAGTGTTATTGCTAGGATTATATGGTAAGTTTAGTTTAGCTCTGCTTTTGTTTTGTTTTCTTTAAAGAAATTTAAAAACTACTTTCCAGACTGGATATTCCATTTTACATTCATCCCTATAAGCAATGTATGCTGCTGCGGCTCACTTGTGTCTGACTCTTTGAGACCCTATGGACTGTAGCCCACCAGGCTCCTCTGTCCGTGGGATTCTCCAGGCAGGAATGCTGGAGTGGGTTGCCATTGCTCCTCCAGGGGATCTTCCTGCCCCAAGGATCAAACCCATGCCTCCTGCGTTGGTAGGCAGATTCTTTACCACTGAACCACCTGGGAAGCATAAGCAATGTGTAACTAATCCAGTTGTTTTTCAAATCTTCATCAGCATTTGGTGTTGTCATTATTTTTTATATTAGCCTTTCTAATCAATATCTAGTGATATTTCATCATATTTTTAATTTCATTTTGTTGTTATTCAGTCGCCAAGTTGTGTCCAACTATTCTCAATCCCATGGACTGCAGCATGCCAGGCTTCCCTGTCCTTCAGCATTTCCTGGAGTTTGCTCAAACTCATGTCCATTGAGTCAGTGATGCCATCCAACCATCTCATCCTCTGTCGCCCTCTTCTCTTTCTGCCTACAATATTTCCCAGCAACAGGGTCTTTTCTAATGAATCAGCTGTTTGCATCAGGTGGCCAAAGCATTGAGCTTCAACATCAGTCCTTCCAAAGAGTATTAGGGGTTGATTTCCTTTAACATTGACTGGTTTGAAATCTCTTTGATTTCATTTACCTAAAGACTAATGAAGTTGTGCCTCTTACCATGTGATTGTCATTGATACATCCTCATCATTGAAATTTCATGTCTTTTACCTATTTTCTAACTGAATTGCTTGCTTACCTATAATTTTGAAGTCTTTACAAATTATAGGTGTGAGACCTTTGTTGGAAATGTGGTTGCAAACAGTTTCTCCAAGTCTGTAGCTTGTCTTTTCATCTACTTCATAGGGTCTTTCACAGAACAAATGATCTGAATTTGCTTTCTCCCTAATATTAGTGATGGCAAGAATGTCTGCTCTGACCACCTGTTTTCAATACAACACTTGAAGTTACAGGTAGTGCAATAAGACCAGATAGAGACATAATAAACAAATGCATTGGGAAGGAAGAGATGTGTGTCTCTACTTGTAGCTGGAATGATCATCTATGTAGAAAATCTCAAAGAATCTAAAAACAGAACAAAACAGGGCAAAAAAACCTCTTAGAACCAACAAGTGAGTTCAACAAGATCACAGGATACAAGATCAACATGAAGAAATCAACTGCATTTGTACATACATGTACATACAATGAACATGATAGTAAAAACACAATACCATTTACAGTTTGAAAGAAAATGAAATAAGATACATCTAACAAAACACGTACAGAAGCTGTATGATGAAAATAGCAAAATGCTGATGAAAGAAATCAAATAAGACCTAAATAAGTTGACATACCACATTTATATTGGAAGATCCAACATAGTAAAATTCATCCTATTAAAATTCTTCAAGCTTTTTTTAATAAACATAGAAGAGCTAATTTTAAAATGTATATTGAAAGGCACAGACTTATAATAGCTAAAACAATTTTGAAAGAGAAAGAATCACTCTCCCTGTGTTAAGATTTCCTATATAGCTACAGGAATCCAAAGTGTGGAAATGGCAAAAGGATAGATACATAGATCAGTGAAATGGAATACAGAACTAGAAATAGGCCCCAAACAAATACTCAAAATCATTTCTGACAAACGTGCAAAAGTAATTCAGTGGAGGAAGAATAGCCTTTTCAACAAAGGAAACTTAATAGCTGGACATCTTTAGGCAAAAAGAAAAAAGTGAACCTTGACTTAAACCTTGCCCCTTATAAAAAAAATTAACTCAAAATGGACTACAGACTTAAATATAAAACATAAAACTACAGAACTTTAAGAAGTTACATAGCAAAAATTCTTTAGGACCTAGGCAAGGTGAAGAGTTCTTAAACTTGACACCAAAAAACGATCCTTAAAAGAAAATATGATAAAAATTCAACTTCATTGAATTTAGAAACCATTGTTTCTTGAAAGTCTGTTTTATAATTTATAATTTAAGATTAGGCAAATTATGGAAATAAATTTGTATTATTCATTTTTAACCTTAATTTACTGATAGCAAAAGAAGTGTCACTGGATTGTCTTCTCAAGAAAAGCACAGCTTTTCTGAAGATAGCTTTAGTGGTTAACCAAATAATAATAATGGAAGTAACTTCAAAGAAATGAAGACCAAAAGAGTTCATTTTAATTTTACCTAGAATTATGATTTGTCATATATTGAGTTTTAGAGCATTATTGATTGTGAATTGCTAAAACCATACTTGTATTAATTGCAAAGATGTACTGGCTAACATAGCAAAGAAACCATTAACATTTACTTGTCACAGAACAAAAGAAATAGGCTTCAAGACAAAAGAATTATTTTAAAGAATACTAAATTTAAAATTTCATGTTCAATATTTCACATGAAACATAAATACTTTGCAGACTTACAAAACAGTGCTTTGAACTGCGAAGATTAAAAACGCATACACAACAACCAGACAATGGTGATAGAAGTCATACTGAAAGTGTTTTATTGAAAATTTGGAGTGAAGGTGTGGCAGAAAAAGATAAAGTCCCATTTTCTAATGAAATCACAGTGTGACAAATTCAGGGACTGGCTAGTGATACAGAGCAGTACCAACTCACAAAACAAAAGTAGCAAAGTATTTACCATCGCAACTTATTGAATAAGAGCTACTGCTAATATAATGACTCAGTATATGTGTGATTTGAACATGAAGTGATAAGAAGGAAGAATTTTTCCTTTTCTGTTTTATCACTGGCAATCAGAACTAACTAATTTTAAACGGCACAAAGTTGCTCACAAATACGGTGTTTCCGGTAGTCATGTATGGATGTGAAAGTTGGACCATAAAGAAAACTGAGCATCAAAGAACTGATGCTTTTGAACTGTCGTGTTGAAGAAGACTCTTGAGAGTCCCTTGGACTACAAGGAGATCAAACCAGTCAATTCTAAAGAAAATCAGTTCTGAACGTTCATTGGAAGGACTGATGCTGAAGCTGAAATTCCAATACTTTGGCTACCTGATGCAAAGAACTGACTCATTGGAAAAGACCCTGATGCTGGGAAAGACTGAAGGCAGGAGAAGGGGACAGAGAATGAGATGCTTGAATGGCATCACTGATTCAATGGACGTGAATTTGAGCAAGCTCAGGGAGTTGGTGATGGACAGGGAAGCCTGGCATGCTGCAGTCCACGGGGTTGTAAGGAGTCCGACATGACTGAACGACTGAACTGAACTGAACTGAACTAATTTTAAACGGCATGAAATTGCAAAGTACTACATTGTCATCAAATGTAATTCGGAGCTTAAGTTTTGTGTAGGATTATATTCTGATAGTAGAACTGCAATGACAAGAAAACAGTCTGAGATAGTCACACAGATTAAAGAATTTACCCCAAATAACAGTCAGTTCTAGTGAGGTGGATGAACCTAGAGACTGTTACACAGAGTGAAGTAAGTCAGAAAGAGGAAAACAAATATCATATGTTAACGCATATAAGTGGAATCTAGAAAAATGGTACTGATGAACCTATTTGCAAAGCAGGAATAGAGACACAGACATACAGAACAGACTTGTAGACACAGTGAAGGAAGCAGAGGTTGGGACAAACTGAGTCAGTAGCACTGAAACATATATATTACCACATATAAACCAGATAGCTAACTGGGAATTTGCTGTTTAACACAGGGAGCTCAACTTGGTACTCTGTGACAACCTAGAGTGGTAGGATGGGGCAGTGGGTGGGAGAGAGGTTCAAGAAGGAGGGTACATATATATACTTACAACTGATTCACGCTGTTGTATGTCAGAAACCAATACAACATTGCAAAGCAATTATCCTCCAATTAAAAACAAATTTTTAAAAATAGTCTTGCTACCAAAAAAAAGCAAAACAAAAACCAAAGAACCCCTTTCGGATGAACAAGACAGTGTGTTTAGTGATACGGTAAGTATTTTTTATTTTGTGAAGGTTAATGTGTTAAATTTTGGACTATTCACTTCATTACATAATAATATGGTAACTGATATTTAACAACTGTTACTGTATGCTGAAGATGGTTAAAGGGGAAAGTTCTATTGAGAATGTTTCAACTACAGAACAATCTCAGTTTTTTGTCAAGAGAAGAGCCAGCTTATTCCCAGTGTTTTAAGGATTTTTAAGCAAGCTTACTTAAAAATAAAACTGACTATAAAATAACACTAAAAAGAAATAAATCATTACATTTTCTCAGATCTTCATATCCTTTAGAGTTATAATTGATAAACTAATCTTAAAATGTCAGTCACACATGGCTGATAAGCAGCTTGCAGCATGTAAGACTCCCTGTGTGAGTTACACAACACACAAACTGGTCTGCATCTTGTTTACCAAGACCAACCCACTGTCATGCTCTTGGATGTCTCTGAAATACATCAAACTGCTTTGAAAGTTTCTAAATGCTTACTCTCAATTTCAGAAAACTTATCTTTCTGCAAATAACAAACATTCACAGATTGGTGCTGGTCCAAGACCATACTTTGAGTACCTCTGGTGGACAAAATTTCTGAAAAGAGTAGAGATGGGCATCAGTAAGGATACCGGACATATCAAGCCTCTATGGGAAGCCAATAAGCCAACAGTGGATGCATTTCCTATTTCTGAACCACTTTCCATCAAATCTAAGCATCCTTAATTGTAAAATACATCACTATTTCACATACTGCTAAGAAAAACACTGTCATTTAAGCTGACAGATGACTTATTATAAAGCACATTTTGAGTTTAAAAAAGGTATAACAACAGGGGGAAAAAGTGCTCCTTAGAAGCTTAAAATACAATATTTATAGTTTTTACAATTTCTATAAGTTATATAAAATAAGAAAAAATATAAACAAATTAATTATGATGAAGAATATATAAAATAAAAATTATGCTAATGTATTTTCTGTTAAAAGGATAAAACAACATTAATTACAGGAACAGGTAACATCAGATCACAGTACTGAAATTTTCAGCATTTTCTAGTATTTTTGTCTTTTTTTTGACCACCCAGTTTATATTCATTGTAATAAAACTCTCAGTTTGCTTTGGGAAACCATTACTTTTTTATTTTCAACCTCATAACCTAGAGTAGTCCTGACTGACCTTAATGGACCAGCATCTCCCACAGTGGTTAGTTTAGGGAAAGGGCTATAACTGAATCAGGAACAGGGAAATGCTAGGAGATACTGGCTCAAGCTTCTGAGAAGAAGAGACTTCCTCTATCCTTTAAAGAGTCCCTGGTAGAGGCCATTTTTCTATCCCCGACATAATGAGATCTTAGGATGGAAACATGTAGAACTTACGCAACCAATCTGTTGTCATAGGGGAGACCTGGTCACTGTAGGGGTATAACTGTATATAGCCTGATAGAGCAGTGATTTAACATTTATGCTGATAATAAGATAACTGCAGAATTTGCCTATCAGGGCAAATGCCTCCTAGCCCTTGTTGCCTTATGACTGAGCTGTGGACTTTACTATTCCTTGGAGACATGGTGAGAGGCACTACTCTCCCCAACCCAAGTGCCTGCTAAGTAAACAAATGCCTTCCCCTCCTCACTTCTGCAGCACAGGAAAGCAGTTGAGTAAAAGCAGGCCTTCTGGGGCACAAATCTAAAGTCATGTTCCCTAATTAATCAATCATAAAGGTAACAGTAAAATCACTACATGTCTAATTCTTATGTCTATCTCTTAGCTGGTTCCAAATTTAGGAAGAAAGTAAAGAATTGTTAATGGTTGACTTAAACCCAGCAATATTATTATCCTTATTTTATGTATAAGAAAACTAGATTTCAGAGAAAATGAACAATTTGTACAAAGTCACCAAAATCTAAAGTGTGTGGCAAACTAGCAGTCAGACCCAGGGACCTCTCATTAACTCTGAGGTCTACTTTTTTCCCCAATGTGCTCACATGCATGTATTTCTATTCATTAAAAACAGACACACTTTGGCCCGTCCCCAGTGACCCACTGGTTAAGAATCCATGTTTTCACTGCAAAGAGCATAGGTTTGACCCCTGGTCAGGGACACCACATGTTGTGCAGTGCAACCAAAAAATAAATAAATAGGCACACATCATTGACATTCTTTAACAAGACTAAAAACTGTTTATGTGGGTGGAAGGAAGAAAAGAAAAATGAATTCATATTTACTGTGCACTTATTGCACTCCAGATATTGTCTGAAGCCATTCATTTGCATTATGTATTTAGTTTAATCCTCAGAACCACCTCCAAGAACCTGCAGCAGTTAAGTGAGAAGCAGGTATCCAAAGCTGACATGCTTTCTACTGACTCGGTTGCTCTTAAAGGCCAAATATTAGTCTCCAGCTATGAGAAGGCTGTTAAAAGCACAGTGTTTACTAACAGCATCAGTTAATCTGCTGAACACATACACTTACTGAAAAGTTCTTTTCAATGGCACAGAATACAACATCCACACACAGGAACACCCCTGTCCGGCCCACGCCTGCACTGCAGTGAACAACGACGGGTCCTGTAAGGTGGCTCTTCCTCACGTAACGTACATACTTTATAAAGCCTTCTGCTGAAGCAGGAGTGCCATGGTCTGGCCAGTTGGTGAACTGCAAGTGTTTTACAAAGTGACTAGCTCCTGTCTGTGGGGGCGGGGGTGGGGAGGGAGAGAGACAGGGAAGGGGAGAGAGAAAAGAGAGATTTATCAACTTCTCATATTAGAGATCTTCTTTTAATTTATAATATGCCATAAATAGTAATAATAAAAGCTATATGGTAATACAATAATAAAAATAAGACTACTAACAGGTAACATGAATTTAGGACTTGCTCTGTAGGAACAGTACTAAAGACTTCACATGCATTATTCTCAGTTAATCCTCACATCAGCCCTGGGGTGGCAGACACTGTATTATCCTCATTTTACAGAAGAAAAACTAAGAATTTGAGTGATTGATAGATGTATGCTAGGTCAGGAGGCTCATATGTTTAGAGCTGGGACAATAATGTAGTCTTTCTAAATCTAATGCTACCAACTTTCTTCTGCACCAAGAGAATGCAGAAGAAACCAAACAAACCAGGAATCCAAAACAGTGAAAAATGAGCTAACATGTTAGGAATAATATAGAAAAGCCAAGATATATCTTGGCTTAAATATTATGATGTGCTGTGCTTAGTCGCTCAGTCGTGTCCAGCTCTTTGTGACTCCACGGACTGTAGCCCGCCAGGTTCCTTGGTTCATGGGGATTCTCCAGACAGGAATACTAGAGTGGATTGCCATGCCCTCATCCAGGGGATCTTCCCAATCCAGGGATATAGCCAAGGTCTCCCGCATTGCAGGCAGATTCTGTATAGTCTGAGCCACCAGAGAAGCCCAAATATGATACTAAATTTAATTAAAATAGGTAGATGCTGTCAAGTTGCTTAATCAGGTTTTGATGGGAGGCAGTCTCCTCTGGCAACCAGGACAGGGTGGTTAATGACCATGTGAGTAGACTTTTGTCCTTATATTCTTTCGCTGAGCCCCCTGAAAGTGCAGTTATGGAACTCTCCCTGGGGTTGACAGATAAAATGCTTTGAGTTTAAAACCCATCATTATTCCAGAGGGTTCACCCCTTCCCCAATGTGGAACCCTCATTTTACTTCACTGGGCACTCTTGTGAAAAAATCAGGAAGAATTTCTCACTCCTCTACTTCTCCTTAAGGTACCACTTTTTTCCCTAAATTCCAAATAAAAATACCATTTTCTATGATGTTAGAAAATAGAAAGACTCAAGTTTGAATCATTGGTACATGAAATTGGATGAGGCAAACGATGCTTAAAAATTGTGTGAAGGAACCAAATTGAGGATAGATCTCACTCCATCACATATTTCAGGAATTAAATCTTTCCTACACTGTTGACCACTGAGAATCTGCACAAAGGTGGGCATCACTGCTTTCCTGACCCAGTACCATGAGGCAGATTCTTCAAACATCAGCCCCATGGTTTTGAGGTCTGGGAACATCAGTCCAAAGGCCACCGTCCTAGATCCCCTTGCCAACTCCACAGGTGGACCTGAACATTTGAACCTTTTCAGACAGATCATTCCTCTGGGCCTTCCACCTGACCTGTATTCTCCAAGCATGCTGTCCTTCTCCTGCCATAGCACATTATCACATGTCATTTAGAACTGGTGTCTTTGTTCCCCACTAGACTGTGAGTACTCTAAGTGTTGAGACTGTGTCTGCTTTCTATCTCCAGCATCTGACACAGTACTTGGTTCATATCAGGGAATCAAGTGTTAGGAGAGTGAGGCATCAGGCAAATCCTTGGGTGTACAGAGCAAACACAGGGCTAGCACACAGCTAGCAAGCCCGACATCAATGTCCAACATTATTATTATTCTTGGCCTCCCTGGTCACACCACTGTGTACCTTGATCCTCATGCTCCTCAATTCTATCTTTCTGTCTCTCTCCCGACTTTATCTCTTCAACATCTCCCTTCTCACTCAGACCCCCAGTTCAGTTCAGTTGCTCAGTCGTGTCCGACTCTTTGCCACCCCATGAACTGCAGCATGCCAGGCTTCCCTGCCCATCACCAACTCCGTGAGCTTGCTCAAACTCATGTCCATCGAGTCAGTGATGCCATCCAACCATCTCATCCTCTGTCATCCCCTTCTCCTCCTGCCTTCAATCTTTCCCAGCATCAGGGTCTTTTGCAATGAGTCAGTTCTTCACATCAGGTGGCCAAAGTATTGGAGTTTCAGCTTCAGCATCAGTCCTTCCAATGAATATTCAGGACTGATTTCCTTTAGGATGGACTGGTTGGATCTCCTCAGGCCCCCATGCTACAGTAAACTCTTGAAAGGCATCATCACTTCCCTAAATGCTTCTTCTACTTCCTTGCTTTGCCTCCATGGGTACTGCACTCTGCAGTTCTCTCTAATCCAGGCCACCTATTCTCCTGTGTTCCAAGTACTACAGAGTCTAGAGATTAGCTGCATACTCCTTGCTGCCCAACACAATTTCCAATTCATTATTTCTTCTCCTTGTACAAAAACTCCACTTCTTTTTAGGTTTCATACCTCTTAACTTCGTCTTCTCATCACTATCACCTTACCACAGATTCTGACAGGGCAAATTTGGGATCTCAACAGCCAAACAGACACTCTAGCCTCACATTTTTATTTCTCTCTTACAGAGGAGACCATTCATGTTTTCTAGTCCTCACAATGTGTTTACTCCTTGGGCTCACCATCACCTATAATGGCCAGTATAAAAAATCTTCCAGTTCTTAGATTCCACCATCAATTACTGAGCAGAAACTCTTATGCTACCACTTTATCTGTCCTTCACCTCCAACAGTGTAACTAGATGGAATTCTTCTGCCATTGATGTCCTCTGTTTCCTCCTAGCTGCTGATTCCATTCATCTCCCTAAGTTTAGACTTACGACTGATTATCTAAATCATTTTCTCATCAAATTGTCAACTCCATTCATCCTTTGAATCTTGCCACATATCCTGAGCAACATCCCTCCCTGTATCAGTTCCATAATCTCTGCTCAGGAATCCCATGGTTAGGAAAAAAAAAAAAATCACATAGTTGCATATTTTATTGTTATTGCAAACTATGGGTTCCAACCTCAGCACCTTCAGCAACCTTTTCCTGATCATTGCCTGTACTCCAATCAACTTCTTTGGTGATGATTCCAAATCTCATCACTCTTCAAGTTTCCAATTTAACTCCCACCCACTTCATTCCTATAGAAGACATGTATCACCTACTTGCTAATCAAATTTGCTTAGAGCAATGTAACATCACTTTCTCCTATAATTCATTCCTTTGTTATTTTCCGAGTCTGTTAGAGCAAGAAATGAATTGTTCTATGGATTATTCTAGACCAATACTTCCCAATATTACTTTCTACAAGGATAGGCTGCCCATATGGTAGTCACTAGTAATATGTGATTAAACACTAGAAGTGTAGCTATTGCAAGTGAGGAACTAAATTTGGTATTTTATATAAGTTTAAATGATTTAAATCTAAAACAGTCAAATGTGGCTATCACATTGGACAGCATAATTTTTGAACACTCCTTATAAGTCACAAGTCGTAAGTCATATAAAGTCTGTCAATTTTATCGGAAAACCATCAAAGTCCTTGCTTTCTATCTAATTGCTAGTTGCCCTAAGTTGATCACATACCCTTCTTACTAAAATTCTTCGATGTCTCCTAGTTATCTTCATAATAAAGTTTGTGCTCCTTAGCTGAAATCCAAAACATTTCATGTTCTGGCTTTCTCTACTTACTTTCTATAGCCTCATCTCATCTCTCATTCCTCCCTGGTATTTGAACTTATACATTCCAGAAACTCTTAACTACTTACATCTCTCTGTACATATGTCCCATGCTATTTTATACCTTCATCATCTACTTACTGTTTTCATTTTCCTCACTTGGGTAAATTCTCAATACAGATGTCACCTCCTCTAGCAAATCATCTGCCCAAACCCAAAGAGAACCTCCTTTCTGCACCCCATACAGATCTCAATACTACATCCATTGAGCACGGTAACTGCAAGTACCAGTGAGTGCACCGAACAATTTGCTAGTAAGGAGCACCATGCCTTGCCCAGTGATTATCAGCATATGTTAAGGACTTCATCGTATCTGTCCCTCTCAGTAGAGGTAGCCAAGGTACACCCCAGGATTAGGTAACGTCCAATACTCTTTCTCAACTGCCCCAACTCCCCTTTTCAATTATTTCATCTCTCCAGTCAGAGTTTGGTTAGGCAGAAGAAGAAATGGTGTTGTCTTAGTTTCTGGTACCAGGGAGAAGTAAAAAAAAAATTACTTTAAACAAGTGTCCCCAGCTATAGCCCACCTGACTTCTAACTTCCTATCCTGACATGTGTGTGTATATAAGGAAATATATATCTAATGCTGATTTTATTTTTTTAACTTACAGACTTCTTGACAACTTGAAACAATCGAATGATGAAATACTGAAGTATTTGGTAGTTCTCCAGGAAGATATGACAGCTTTTCAATTCCAAAGGTTTCTTCATAGAAATAGGCCAGTAATGGTGGCATTTAGTAACTCCACGTTCTTTCTCTTTGGTTATCATGGCAATAACATTAGAGTTATTTTCCAAAATCATTTGCCAAAAGTCATTCGTGGTAGTTGGCAGTGGTCCTTGGGTAGCAATATAGTAATACTCTTCTCCAGAATTGACTATTTTAATATAACTGGCATTGATGTAGTCCTTGTTTTCTCCAAGAGGAACACGTGTTGAATCATCTGTTACAGAAACAGAAACATATAGTAGATAAAGGAAAAGCAGGATATGCAATACATGCAGATTTCATGAAACCATTTCACTAAAGTAAACCTATTTATCTTTTTGACCAATAGAAAAGATGGCATAGGAGTTTCTAGAAATATACAATTAGGGTAAGGTTTTTTAAAAAAAATCTGTTTCTACTAAAAAGAGAAGAATGCCATCAGTATCCAGACACCTTGAGAGATTTCTGTTACATATGGCACAAGTAGGAATAGGCCAAGAGAGGTATCTCCTAGCGTATAACTAAACACACCAAAGGAGGAGCCCTCTGAAGGAGCAAGTGGATGAATGGCATTCTCCTACAAATCCAGAGAACCTGAAAGCTCAGAGCAGCAGTAGCCAGAAAGGAACTAATGTTTTTGAAAAAAAAAAAAAAGATTTGGATAGTTGAGTAGATACAAATTCTAGGATTATTAGAATTCTATCAACTCCCTGCACACAAAGTAGCCATCTTTTATGTCCATTCTCAGATTTCACCTGGTGAAGTAGCATGCTCATCAAAGCAAAAGTATTGTGGCAAAAAGATGCTACAAAGGGGATTTGCTCAAAATATGGATTATTATTAACAAATATGAGAGGGGAAATGCCAATAATGTGGCTCACTAATAAACCCCACTGGCCCAGGAACCCTCTCTTCACTTTACGTAGACACCTGGAGCTCTGGTTCCACCACTGCTCCCACAGAGAGAATAAAAAGAGGGTCTTTCCCTGCCATGCCGTGGTCTCACCAGCAGCTCCTCCCTAGTACTCAAGTCAGGAGGCCCACTCATCTACCAAAAACACTATGACCAAGATCTCTCAACAAGGCTTACACCAGTTCTGACAGAACCTTTCTCAAATTCAAAAATAGCAAACATAAATCTCTCCTTGTAAATATGAATAGACAAAACAATCACTAGATATATAAAGATACCTAGTACTCCACAAAAGGATACCATTCTGAGAAATCACAGCAAATGTCTTCCTTTCTATAAGATAAGAATACTTTAAAAATTCTTATTTGTATTTTAAATGAAATCTGAGCAAACATTATTTTATTATTTAAAAGGATGATATACATATATATACATGTTTATTGACATAAATTTGTTACATTTTTAAATTTCAAAGGAGGTAAAAGGGCATTAAACTGAGATCTTTCATCATATATATGTATATATACATATATATCATATATAAGAGCTTCTCTGGTAGCTCAGAAGTAAAGAATCTGCCTGCCAATGCAGGAGATGTGGGTTCAGTTCCTGGGTGGGGAAGATTCCCTGCAGAAGGAAATGACAACCCACTCCAGTATTCTTGCCTGAAAAGTCCCATGGACACAAAAGACTGGCAGAAGAAGACATGGACACAGAAGAAGGCTCATGGGGTCACAAAGTCTGACATGACTGAGCACAGCACAGCAGAGCATTTATCAAAATGCTAGTAGGGACTGTTTTATTATCTAAATTTTTACAGTAAATATGTACCACTTTGTAGTAGGAAGTAACTTTTTATTTTCAAAGGGGGAATTTAATAAGTAAAAATTAAACAATCTAAAGTAATAAAAGCTTGCTTTCAAATAAAAACCACAATTTATCAATTAAAAATTCCTAAAGTGAGAAGCAAACAGAAAAACAAATTAGTAATTTAGAATACAGCTTAAGGAATTTTCCCAGAATCAAAAAAAATAGATGAAAAAAGGACAATAATTATTAAAACACTGAAGGATGCAGAACACACAAAGGGAATATATAAAAGGAAAGGATTTCAGAAACAAACTATAGAACACAGGCATACCTCGGAGACCACACAGGTTTGGTTCCGGACCACCACAATAAAGGGACTATCGCAGTAAACAAGCCACATGAATTTTTTTGTTCCCCAGAGCATATAAAAGTTATGTTTACACTATACTGTAGTCTGGTAAATGTGCAATAATATTATGTTTATATAAAATGAAGTACATATTTTAATTATGAAATACCCTACTGCTAAAAAAATGCTAACAATCATCTGAGCCTGCAGCAAGTTGTAATCTTTTTGCAAGAGTAACGTCACAGATCACTGACAGTAGATCACTGTAACAGATACAATAATAATGAAAAAGTTTGACATATTGCAGGAATTACCAAAACATGACACAGAGACATGAAGTGAGGAAATGCTGTTGGAAAAATAGTGTTCAACACAGGGTTGTCACAAACTGTCAATCTATAAAAAACAGTATTTGCAAAGTACAATAAAGTGTAGCACTATACAGGTATGATTGTATTTAGCAGGAAAGAAATAGCTCTGGTGGCCATAGGAGAAATGTGGTGGTGGTGGTTTAGTCTCAGTTCCCCTCAAAAAGAGAATTCAGTGCAAACACGCAAGCCATGCATCACCTCATCTGAACTTCAAAACAGTCCTTTGAAGAGTCATATTATTATTCATGCCTTTCAGATAAGGAATCTTTATTCAAAGTACCTAAGTCATTTGTTCCATATTATGCAGCAATTCTTCTAGACTCCATAATCTACAAATAATTCCATGATTTGCTGCTCTTCAAGGAAGACTCAAGTTTTCAGGTGGAAAGTCCTTACCAAACCAGATGCCATTAATGAAGAGAGCCACCAGGAGTGAGACCAGCAGAGCATTAGGTTACAGTGACAGGAAGCAAAAACTGTGTTAGTAGATCACTAGCAGTAACAGTGAGGCTTCCCTGGCGGCTCAGACGGTAAAGAATCTGCCTGCAGTGCAGGAGACGGGGTTTCGATCCTTGAGATGAGAAGATCCCCTGGAGAAGGGAATGGCTATCCATGCTACAGTCCATGGAATCACAGAGAGTCAGACACAATTAGCGACTTTCAGCTTTCACTTCAGAGGTGACAGTGCCTGGGGCCACTGTCATTTCCATCCCTTGACTCCTGACACCTGGCTGTGGCATGTATTGGGCCCTAATTTGGAGCAAATATAACCTTTTGGCGAACACTGCTCCAACACCATGAGGTACTGCCACCTAGCTGGCACCATTACTGTGTCTACAAAAGGTCATTCCGCTGCTCTATCAAGCCAGCTGCCACAGAATGATGAGGAGTGTGTCAAGACCAGTGAATTACATAATCATGGGCCCACTGCCACAAATAATTTGCCTCTAAGTGAGTTCCTTGATCTCACAAGGCAAGGCTGTGTGGACTACCATGATGGTGGTAAGGCATTCTTCAGGTCCATTTGGTAGATTAGGTAGAAGTTTGTATGCAGGGAAGGTAAATCCATATCATGTCTGTTTTAGTAAGCAAAAAAGCATTGTTCCTTCCATGACAGAAGCAATTCAATGTAATCAACCTGTCATCAGGTAGCTAGGGGGCTGATCACGCTTGGAAAAGGTGTCATATTAGGGCCTCAGTGTCGGTCTCTGCTACCGGCAGATTGGGCACTCAGAAATGGCCATAGCAAGGTCAGCCTGGTGAGGAGAAGTCCACGTTGATGAGTCCATGCATAGTCTCTATTCCTGCCAGCAAGCCTACTTTATTCATTAATCCACTGGGTAAGGACAGGAGTATTTGGGAAAGAGGCTGACTAGTATCCACAGAATAGGTCATCCTATTCACTTGATTGTTAAAACCTTTTCTTAAATCACCCTTCAATGAACATTCACAAAAGACACAAATATAGTCATGGTTTTGCCCTTTCAGAGAGATCTATACACACTTATCTCTCCCAGATTTCCTTGTGATCAACTTCCCAGTTATGTTTCTTCTAAGTCTCTGACCATCCAGCCAAACAGCTGACTACAATCCATGAATTAATAAAGATTTGTACCTCTGGCCATTTCTGCTTCCAAGCAAAATGAACAGCCAAGTACACTGCTTAAAGTTCTACCAACTGAGAAGATTTCCCTTCACCACTGTCTTTCAGGCATGTCCCAAAAAAGGCACTGTAGTGCAGCTGCTAACATTTAGGAGGGGCCTGCATATCATGCAGAACCATCTGTTACCTGGGCCCAGTCTTCCTGTCCTTGGTCAACTGATCACAGGGAACTTGTCATGAAGCCACAGGTGCAGGCTGGGAAAGAGAAGGTAATGCAGCAGAAGAGGGGGATTTTGGCCACTTCATGGGAGTTATTAGTACCTTCAGAGCTTTTAGGGAAATTATTTCAGTAGCTACTGTGAGTAGATGGGAGTAGAGGCAGTGAGGAAGACAGAAACTAGCTGAGAGAGAAAGCAAACTCAATCTAAGTTAGCAGCAGTGGGAATCAAGAGATGCGGGAGGACTCTTGAGGTATTAAGAAGGTAGAATTGAAAGGACTTTGTGACCACTTTGGATACTGCAGGTGACTTGGGTTCTCTGGCATGAACAAATGAGTGGTTAAACTAAATAAGATACAGAATAAAGAAGAAGGTCATTTTGTAGGAAGAAAAATGGTAATTTAATTTTGAAAATTTTTTTGACTTTGAAAGGAATGTGAGGCATAAAAATGAGATTTCCATCCTAAGAGTAAAATTGTGTTGCTTTGTTTCTGTTCTTTTGAAGGTCTGAGACAGATGAATCTGTAACTGGGTGGGGAAGAAACTAGCCCTGGAAAGCAATGAGTAAGTCTTTGGCAACAATCAAAGGGAAGCCTCCTGTTGGAGGGTAGATTGGCAGCTTTATTGTTCAGGACAAAGGATATAAATAGTACCATTGTATTTCTGTGTCTAAACAAAATGATCAGGGAAGGTGGTAAGGGCTTAGGGTAGCAAAAGTGAAAGATGTCTCAGAGTATTAAACTTTCTGTTTTAGATGCAACAATGCATAAGATATTTCAGAAGTAGTAATGCATAAGAACAGGGTTGAAGGACTTATGAAAAGAATCCTGTGACAGTGAGTAGAAGATTTACCTGGGATAGAAGACTTGACCTTCTTCATGATCTAGGATAACCAAGAATATGCCCAGGTCACCCAGTGCTAGCTTCCAGAGTTCTTCATCATGGTCACAGGTCAAAATGGCTAATACTGAAAGCCATACAACCCACTTCTTACCTTTTATCAAGTGTAAATAGGAAAATAATTAAAACCATTGTTAGCTTACATGGAAGAATATCTCGATATCTATTTTTGTCTCTGTTGTGTAGTTCATTCCCAGAGTGGAAAACAGCAGGCAGCTTCTTAACTTCCAAAGCCTTTAAAAGGTAAGAAATATAAGTAATATATTTACTATGACAGAAAAAAAAAGAAGGAAAGAAAAAATATCTGTCTTTGTGTAGTGCTCATGATTCTCAGGTCCCTTTATGACATGTCCTGATATTAAATGTGTTCCATGGTAAGTAAAGAAGTCAGAGCTCCACTGGAAAAGTCCTATATAAAATATCTCGGATTTGAGATGTGAATCAACAAGTTGCTTGATAAGGAGATGCTCAACTCTCTGGAGATACTTTTTCCCTTGAACACCAAGATTTTTCCTTTTTCATTAAAAAAAAAAAATCCAATACAGAATATTAACTTCTTAGGACCTACCCCTTAATCTATCATTTTATAAATGAAAATAATAAAATAACAGAAACAAAAATATAAACTCTCAAAATTTACTCCTTGCCCCATGAAGAAATTATAGTTAGAACACTAAAGAATTCTTCTTTTCAAAAACTTGATTACCAACTGTGAATTTGACATTAAATGAACATTTAGTATGTACTCATCACTGTTCCACATTCTGCAATACAAAGACGAATCTGAAAATGGCTTTATACTTAAGAAGTTAACAACAGCTAAAGAGGTGGCCATGTGGTCAATGTAGAGACACACTAGTATAAATGACAGCACTAGATTGTACTTGAAGGTATGGAAAGGAAAGCTCCTGGAAAGAAAGCAGCACTTGAACTGAGCCTTCCTGAGGTTCAGAAGTTAGTAGCTTGGAAGTCTGTGTGTGTGAAAGGAAAGAAGAGGTGAATGGGCATTACACCAGGTAGGAGAATAGTAATAAAGGCATGGATGTATACAGGTCCTCTTTAGAAAACAATTAACAGTATGGTAACAACAGCACAGAACACATGAACACAGAACACAAAGGAGAACTAAAACTAACTAGGGAGGCCTTGTTTCATACACAAAGGGAGCTGATATGTATCCAGCCCTACCCTATTTGAACAATTGGGGATAAAGCCTGAGAGTCCATACTTTTTAAAAAGTCTTCAGTAACTCTTGGGTAGCCAACTTGGCACTACCATAAGTTAATGCTGGCCACTACTGCAATGGAGAATGAGAATCCAGGTTTTAAGCCATAAGATAATATCAGTGTCACATATAGATCTTGGTTAAAACCAAAATATTTACCACAAATTCCTGGGTGATTTCATATTCTGATACTTTTTTGGTAAGTATTTTAAAATAATCCCTGATGGTTGATTGCTACTGAGTATTGAATATTAATGGTCGAACCAGAGCTAACAACTGGCTTCTTTTCAGAAACAATTTCCACATCTATTTTTACATTTTAATCTTTCTGCAAACCAATTCTAAAAGTAGCCTAGAAAAAAGCAACTGTAAAAAGAAGCAGAACAATTCTATAAAAGAAGAGTAATGAGGGAAGACAAGTCTTAATCTATGGTAAAATATAATACAAAGTTATGTTAATTTTAAAAGTTTGGTACATGAATAAACAAATCAATTTTAAAAACCACAAAAATAAAATATACATGGTGTTTCAGTATGTGAAAAAGTAGCATTTCACATCACTGAAGAGAAGTTGGGACAAGAGGATCATTGAACAACTGATTAGCTATAGAGTGTTGGATCCCTACCAAATATCTTAAAACAAATTAAATGTTGGCTGGATGAAAGATTTATGCATTGAAAAAAATCATAAAATATTAGGAAAAAAAGCAAGAAATAATTGCTATGTTCCTAGAGTGAAAGGGGAATCCCTAAAGGATGCAGAAAACCCTGAAGCCCCCAAAAGAAAGAATGACATATTCAACCATTAAAAATTAGCTATTTCTTCACAGTAAATGTATATGCACACATATGTAACACAAAAGACAAAGTGGAAAATTTTACCATATATACAAAACACATACAAAAAGGATAATTTCTTCATTATATAAAGAGTTAAAAACTGATAAGAAAAGGAATAAATAGAAAATTAGGCAAACAACTGGAATTAGTTCACTGAAAATAAATATGAAAGGCTTAAAAGCATATGGAAAGCTATCTGTTCTCAAATTAAGAAATGCCAATTAGAACATCAACAAGAAATCATCTGTCACTTAAAAGATGAGTAAAGACCCAAAAATCAAACATCTCAAAAAACTCGTTGTCTTTCCAGGAATTTGTTCTAATGACTATGCATAGGAACATGAATGAAGAGGGGCAATGTTTTTCATAATAACAACATCTTTAATAATCTAAATGTTCATCATAGAGGACTATTTAAAGAAAAAAAGTCTTCATTCATATAACTACCATGCAATACTTAAAAAGAATGAGATAGAACTATATATACTCATAATATATTTGGGGATTATTTCTTATTGGAATTCTTTATAAAAGGAAAGAAAGAGCAAAATAATAAAGTACATGCCAACAATTTTTCTGAAAGTTTAATGACAGATTTAATAGTGGTAAAGGGAATCAAGAGAGAAAAAGAGATTTTATCTGTTTTATAACCTTTCATGCTATTTCACTCTTTTATTATGTACACCTGTTACTTTAGAAACAAATTTAATATTTAAAAATAAAAACAACATATTCAACCTGAAAAAAAAGAACAGATATTCTCTGATTGACAAGTAGAAAAACATATCACATATAGACCTTGGTTAAAACCAAAATATTTACCATAAATTCCTGGGTGATTTCATATTCTGATACTTTTTTTGTAAGTATTTTAAAATAATCCCTGATGGCCGATTGCTCCTGCGTATTGAATACTAATGGTCGAACCAGAGCTAACTGAGCTAGCTCCTTTTCAGAAACAATTTCCACACCTAAGAAAGAGAAAAATTCACATCTGTAAGTTACTTACATATGTGTGAAGGGAGATTTTATTTTTATTGTTTTCTCTTAAATAAAGATCCAGCCATTTAAGAATTAATGGAATTTTATTTTTCCAGAGGTGAAAAGTCCATTATTACTTTTAAAGGAAGGATCCTTATTTCGGAAAAATCATGACTACACACCTTGAAATTACACAAAATCCACTATTCTTAGAAAAAACCATTGCATTATAAATATAACAGATATGATAGACTGAGAAGTGATCTGTTTTACAATGTGACTGAGTATATATATTGACAATTATGCCAAGGCAAGCAAGGCAAAAGAAACAGAGATCAAATTACCAACATCTGTTGGATCACAGAAAAAGCAAGGGAATTCCAGAAAACCATCTATTTCTGTTTCATTGTCTATGCTAAATTCTTTGTGTGGATCACAACAAACTGTGGAAGATTCTTAAAGCGATGGGAATATCAGGCCATCTTACCTTCCTGAGAAACCTGTACGCAGATCAAGAAGCAACAATTAGAACCAGACATGGAACAACGGACTGGCTGCAAATTGGAAAAGGAATACATCAAGGCTGTATATTGTCACCTTGCTATGTAACTTATATGCAGAGTACATCAGGCGAAATGCTGGGCTGGATGAAGCACAAGCTGGAATCAAGATTGCTGGGAGAAATATCAACGACCTCAGATATGCAGATGACACCAACCTAATGTCAGAAAGCAAAGAGGAACTAAAGAGCCGCTTGATGAAGGTGAAAGAGGAGAGTGAAAAAAACTCAACATTCAAAAATGAAGATCATGGCATCTGGTCCCATCACTTCATGGCAAATAAATGGGAAACAATGGAAACAGTGACAGACTTTATTTTGGAGGGCTCCAAAAGCACTGCAGACAGTGATGGCAGCCATGAAATTAAAAGATGCTTGCTCCTTGAAAGAAAAGCTATGACAAACCTAGACAGTACATTATAAAGTAGAGACATTACTTTGCTGACAAAGAGACATTGCTTTTGCTGATATAGTCAAAGTTATGGTTTTTCCAGTAAGTCATGTATAGATGTGAGAGTTGGACCATAAAGAAGGCTGAGCGCCAAAGAATTGATGCTTTTGAACTGTGGTGTTGGAGAAGACTTGAGAGTCTCTTGGACAACAAGGAGATCAAATCAGTCAATCCTAAAGGAAATCAGTCCTGAATATTCATTGGAAGGACTTCTGCTGAAGCTGAAACTCCAATACTTTGGCTACCTGATGCTAAGAGCCGACTTATTGGAAAAGACGCTGATGCTGGGAAAGACAGGGCAGGAGGTAAAGCAGGCAACAGAGGATGAGATGGTTGGATGGCATCACTGACTCGATGGATGTGAGTTTTTGCAAACTCTGGGAGATACAGAAGGACAGGGATGCCTGGCATGCTGCAGTCTATGGGCTCACAAAGCATCAGGCACAACTGAGTGACTGGACAAAAACAAAACACATACAAGACATGGATGGGAAAAAGAAAGAACTTTTGTCCTCCCTGGGGCCAAGTGTTTAGAAGTCCCTGGACCCTGGAATCTGAGATGAGAGTATATGCAGAGTCTAATACACCTCTAACTCTAATTCTAAAACAGATCAAGCATGCACATGTGCATACACACATACACATCACAAAGATTAAGAGGATCTATATGATATAATTGATAGCACTAAGATAAATGTATAACATATATCTCTATATGTTATATACAATTGTAAGTAATTTGATGGTATCACCAATTCAATGGACATGAGTTTGAGCAAGCTCAGGGAGATGATGGAGGACAGGGAAGTCTGGCATGCTGCAGTCTATGGGGTTGCAAAAAGTTGGACGTGACTGAACGACTGAACAACAACAAAAACAATAATGATATATTATACTACAGATATAGATCTATATTATATAGCCATATACTTGTAACCAATCATAACAAAAGAGAATACATTCTATTTAATAGTACATATGGAAATTTTCTGAAAAACTAATGGTCTTTTAGGTCAGGTCAATAATCTAGATTCTAAATATCTAAAATTTTAAAGATCATGTACACTGGTCAAAATGCCATAAATCTAGAAAGTCAATATTAAAATAATTTTTTTAATATGAATTTTGAGGGATTTTTCTAGTGGTCTGATGGTTGAGAATCTTCTTTCCAATGCAGGGGGTTCGATCCCTCGTTGGGGAACCTGGTTCCCACATGCCTCAGAGTAACTAAACCCACAGACCTCAACTACTGAGCCCACGTGCCTCAACTAGAGAGACTGCATGTCACAAACTACAAAGTCCTTACCCTCTGGAGCCCAAGCATACAACTAGAGAGAAGTCTGGTGCCACAACAAAGATCCCACATGCTGCAACTAAGACCCAACACAGCCAGAAAAACAGAAATCCTGATACATAAAAGGACTCTCATTTTTCAAAAAAAGAAGAATTCTGAGGTAAAATGCGTAAGTGAAATCTCTTTCCAAAGCCAAATCATATAACAAAAATCAAGTAAATACCAGCAAAAATACACAAGAAGCAATTAAACAAAAGAATGGGCATAAAGAAGAGGTAGAAGTTTCTAAGAATCTGCACTGCCCTGAGAAACTCATCTTGTCTTGGAACCCTATTATATCAAAAAACTCTTTCTAGAGGCGAAAATGAGGAACTGTTGGTGGGGAGAGGCAGTCACAGAAATCTTAAAATTTCCCACAAGTATCTCTACGAAGCCCAGAAGGGAACTGAAGTCACTCAGTCATGTCCGACTCTTTGTGACCCCGTGGACTGTAGCCTACCAGGCTCCTCCATCCATGGGATTCTCCAGGCAAGAATACTGGAGTGGGTTGCCATTTCCTTCTCCAGGAGATCTTCCCTGGCCCAGGGATTGAACCCAGGTCTCCCGCATTGTAGGCAGAAGCTTTACCATCTGAACCACCAGGGAGTAGACACTAGGAAGCCAAGCTAAGGTTAAAGTTAACTCGCTCAGTCATGTCCGACTCTTTGTGACCCCGTGGACTGTAGCCCACCAGGCTCCTCTGTCCATGGGATTTTCCAGGCAAGAATACTGGAGTGGGTTGCCATTTCCTTCTCCAGGGGATCTTCCTGACCCAGGGATTGAGCCCAGGTCTCCTGCACTGCAGGCAGACGCTTTAACCTCTGAGCCACCCGGGAAGCCCTTCTCTGGTAGCTCAGCTGGTAAAGAATCCACCTACAGTGCAGGAAGCCAAAGGAGCAGACAAAATTCCCATTTGAACCCATTTTGATCATCTTCCATCCCAAACAGAAACACCCATTTGGCTTCTCACTGTGTTCTAACCTTGCTGGGGAAAAAAAATGCTGAGAGAAGGAAGAGACAGTATTATGGTTTACTTTATTATTCATACCTATATTTTCTTTTTTCCCACATATGATAATGTATAATCCAAAAAAAAAGTTATTATTTTACTTACAAAGTAACCACTGTGCAACAAAGTCAAATTAAGAAAATGAAGAAGCAGGTCATATTTAATCTATACAAGTTGCTAAGGAATACACAGCTCATTTTATTAAATTGACATGTTTGCTATACTAAAATACTTAAAGAAAGAATAGAAATGTACCCTTTATTAATGTGAGGTATGGAACAGTTTCTTCATTTTTAAAGGAAAATCCTAGAAAATCATCTTTTCCCCTTTTGAAAAAGTTTTTCCTAGCTCTTTTCCTGCATCGCTATTAGAAATTTCTCTGCGCATACCTCTGAAATATAGCCTCATCAAGAATCTGCTAACAAAATGGGATGAGGTCATACCCTGGAGTGTAGGAATCTCAGGATGGGAAGGCCCTGCAAACTCTTCATCCTCACTGCTCCACTTCTGCTTTAGAAAGAAGCTACTGGTTTTCCGCAAGGTGCCGACATTCTCACTAGAAAAGAAATTTATATTTGTCCATGGCTTAGAGAATGTAGGTGTATTTAAGACAGAATCTCTGATAATCTACATTAACTATTTCACCTCCATTTCAGCTCAACCACCCGCTTCCGTTGTCAACCCCAGGAACTGGCCCACTTTCAAAGAGATAATTCCAAAGTCCCAACGTCTGATCACAAACTCCAACTTCAGCTTTCACTTCGCTTGCAAACCAGCCGCCTTAGATCAATCCCCCTATTCATCTTCTTTCGTCCTTTATCCAGGCTGTGGTAGAAAAAAAGTACTGGGGTCACTGGGCTTTCTAGTATCAGCAGAGAACCATTTGGAAAACACTGGTATGTTTCTATTCCATTTCCTCTACCATTCCTAATTTCTGAGCTACCATTCTCATGTACTACCTTTCTCAATCCTCTGCTTTAGTAACAATGCAGCCACTACTATGAAATGTAAGCCAGAAAGTAAAAACTTTTTCAACTTACTTGCTTTAAAAATGTACACTTAAGTGCATCAGCATTCTTCATTATTCCTTGTTTTCTCCATGTTAAGAATTAATCCTTTCAAGTTTTCAACTCTATGCTGTCTCCTCTGAGACATTTTTCTAAAATTATGTTTTCTTCAGTTCAGATCACCTTAATTCAGTCGCTCAGTCAAGTCCGACTCTTTGCGACCACATGGACTGCAGCACACCAGGATTCCCTGTCCATCAACAACTCCCCAAGCTTGCTCAAACTCATGTCCATCAAGTTGGTGATGCTATCCAAACGTCTCATCCTCTGTCATCCCCTTCTCCTCCTCCCTTCAATCTTCCCCAGCATCAGGGTCTTTTCAAATGGGTCAGTTCTTTGCATCAGATGGCCGAAGTATTGGAGTTTCAGCTTCAGCATAAATCCTTCCAATGAATATTCAGGACTCATTTCCTTTAGGATTGACTGGTTGGATCTCCTTGCAGTCCAAGGGACTCTCAAGAGTCTTCTCCAACACCACAGTTCAAAAGCATCAATTCTTCAGCACTCAGCTTTCTTTATAGTCCAACTCTCACATCCATACATGGCTACTGGAAAAACCATAGTTTTGACAAGATGGACCTTTGTTGGCAAAGTAATGTCTCTGCTTTTCAAAATGCTGTCTAGGTTGGTCATAGCTTTTCTTCCAAGGAGCAAGCATCTTTTAATTTCATGACTGCAGTCATCATCTGCAGTGCTTTTGGAGCCCTCCAAAATAAAGTCTGTCACTGTTTTCATTGTTTCCCCATCTATTTCCCATGAAGTGATGGGACCAGATGCCATGGTCTTAGTTTCTTGAATGTTGAATATTTTCTTATATTTAACTAATTTCTCCCTACCTACAAATTCTTCCAAATCATAAGAATAGATATGAATCAACTGATTCTCTCTTACCTTAAAAATAGGAAACCCTTTAATCTTTCTATCTCCATCAAAATACTGTTCTATATACTCTAACAGGTTCTCAAATACCAGCCCACATTTCCTTTCTGTTTCTTTTCCAACTTCTCACTACTCAATTTACTCACACTTTCATTTGCAACCCCATTTAGCAAAAGTCTCCTAATTTGATTTCTGGGTCTGCTCTCCAATTCCTGAGAAAATTCTCCCCTAAATGAAAATTTAAGTGTTATACTTGCCCACCAACTTCAGGATAAACTCAGGCTCCTCACTGAACTCATAAATTCAGGAGGCTAATAGTCTCACCCTTGCCTACTTTTCTGTCCTAATCTCTATTAATTTCCTTTATGTACTTTATGCCTCAGCCTTAACAAAGTAAATGTCTTTTCCTTTTGTTTCTGCGGGTAGTAACAGGTTTCTAACTCTTTGTTCCTCCCCCTTTTCTTGAGTTACTGTAAACATCTACTTGTTCTCCATTTCCTACCAGTTATCTCACCATCAAGCCTCCTTCTTGATAGATGACAGATAGACAGATGACTGACAGACAGATAGGAAGATGCAAAAAGACTCCATCTGCGCTTCATTTTCATTCTAACAGACTGAATAAAATGTGTACGCCTTGGTTTCACATATATTCAGTTCATTCAAACTATGGCCCACATTATATTTTCTATTCTGCCTCTCATCTTCCCAAGCTTCCTGGCATTCCAATTAACGTATACCTTATAACTCTTGACACATAACATTTCTCACCAATAGTAAGATATTTTCACGGCTCCTTATTTTTGCTCAGACTTCTTCCCACAGCTTGAAATTTTCTTCCCTTGCTTTTCACCTACTGAATCTCTGTTTATTTAAGATCCCAAATCCAACCAAAATATCTTTTCCTCAAAACAGCTGGTAGAGAACTCTCCCCCTTGGAAAGTTTTCTGTTTTCTGTACCCATAATCCTTGGACTCTGACTCTATAACAATATTTACTACTGAATTTAACTTTGTCTTTTATGTGTCTGGGCTACAATTATAAACTACAGAACAAGAACTATTAATATTTTGTATTTGTATACAGTGCTTAGTATGTAATTAGTATCTAATAATTAGTATATATTAGTAACATATAAGATTATCTCAAAACACTTTCAAATTAATGTTATTTATTATTCATTTAATGCACTTCTGAAAGTTGTTTATACAACTGTATACTATACACATTATTATGCAGTGCTCTTCCAGTGACTGTAGCTAATATTACTCACAAACCTCTAAGAAAATATAACTCAATAAAATATTTTCTTATTTAATGTCTTTGTACATAACACCTAAATTTGAATATTTTATAAGCATTAAAGTTGCTGTTTCTTTCGTTTCTAATAGAAATTTACTTTTTCTTCAAGTTTTTAAATTTTTTTCATATATAGTATTCACCATGCTAATAGTTCCATTTCTAGTATACATTATTTTCTTTCTGGAAACATGTAATGTTTTATAAAACTTAGTTGTGTACTAAGCTCTACCTTACTTCAAGTACACTGCCCCATCCAAGAACTCCAAACACACTTACAAAGGTTTCGGAACTGGGTAATTGTTGAGATGATAGAGAAACTGAATTCTTTGGGAATATCTTTTTCTTGTGTTAATATCATATTTATGAGGTCATAAATACATCCTATTTCTAGATAAGTCAGATTTTACTTACTACAAAGTACTATATTTTTAAAATTAATCAAACATTTGAGGGCCTTTATTCAGCCTCCACTCAAAGGTCTAGCTATGAATATGAATAAGCAGAAAACTTACTAAATAATCATATGAGTTATACCTTTCAGCCTCATCTTTAAACTGATCTTCAAAATCATCACTATGTTGGAAATCTTGAAGAAAGACTTTTAGCTTCCTTGAGTTAACTTCATTTTGAAAAACCTATAGGCATATGAAAAAAATTACAGCTATATTTTAGGAATCAATAGTTTAAGAGAAAATGATTTTTATAGCTTCTCAAGAAGAGCAATAAAGGTCTTCAATAATAGAATTAAATCACAATCATGGTGTGATTTCTACTCTTAGAAAATCACTTGAAATGTATTCTCCCTTTAAATATTTTCCAATCCATCAAAACAGCATGTAGAGTACCATGCACATATAAATTATTTCTATTGAATCACCCAAGTTTTAATCTTCCAAGTTATTTTCCAGAAGTTCATAAAAAGAAAGCTTATTTTTCTTTAAAAAATAAAAAGATTATTATTGCAGCCCAGAGGAGATTCTTATAATGAGTGCTTATCTCATTTAGCTTATTGTTAATATAAGGTTACTAACACACTATCTTTATTTCAGTGCTTGTGTAATTTAATCCAGTAACTCTAGGTATGTCTCTGCCATGAAATTTTGTACTACTAAATGGACTTTAGTCCACATTGTTGACTTTGCACTGTCCTGTACAGTACCCAGACCACTGGTAAATAAATTGAATATAATTAAAGGAAAAAATAACATTAAAATAAAGATTTATTAATCAATATTTTTGCCCTCAATTCTGCTTCAATTAACCCACTCATCTGACAGTTCTTTTCTGGGGTCCAAATACATGCAGATACTGTTCTAAGTGCTACCGATAAAACACTGAATAAGAGGCATGATGTGTTCTGCCCTTGTGAAATGTATGCATTCTCATGGGGAAAGAGAAAATACACAAGCAAACATATAAAAGCTACACCTGTGATAAACAATAATGAAGTAACAAATTATGGTGATACTTAATCACCATGTACCTAAAAGATAGAAGCAAAGTTAGACAAAGAGACAGGAAAGTATCCTGAGCAAAAGGAACAGCAGGTCCAAAGTCCAGAAGGCCTGCCACGGTCTGGACTCTGCCTAATTTTCCACCCTCAGCTCCCACCTATTTCTTATGCAGCATCTCCAGCCATATACTGTGTTATGTCTTGTCATCTTTTTTGAAGTGTCTTTTGATGATTCTTATTTTGTGAAACATTAATCCTTTCCCCTCTTCTTAGTCCATATTCATGTGTATGTGTTTTGCCTAATTCCACAAAACTTCCTAGACTTGAAATACTTCTGGTGGGTATATATATGCTTGTGGGCATATGTACAGCTGACATTCTAGAACATGGACCCAAGCACAATCAATTTTAAATGCAAGATATTAATGGAATAACTACCTAGAACTCTTATCAAGCACATTCGTTTTGCAGGATAAGTCAAAACATATAACTTATTAAGTTTTAACTTCACATAAATAACCACTAGTGGAGATGATGGAATCCCCGCTGAGCTATTTTAAATCTTAAAAGAGGATGCTGTTAAAGTGCTGCACTCAATATGTCAGCAAATTTGCAAAACTCAGCACTGGTCACAGGACTGGAAAAGGTCAGAAGGGCAAGGTCAAAGAATATTCAAACTACCCTAAATTGTATTCACATACTAATAAGGTTATGCTCAAAACCCTTCAAGCTAGGCTTCAGCAGTACATGAACTGAGAACTTCCAGATGTACAAGCTGGGTTTAGAAAAGGCAGAGGAACCAGAGATCAAATTGGCAACATTTGTTGGATCATGGAGAAAATAAGGGAATTCCAGAAAAATACCTACTTCTGCTTCATTGACTACAGAAAGCCTTTCACTGTGAGGATCACAACAAACTGTGGAAAAATCTTAGAGGTGGGAATACCATATCACCTTACCTGTCTCCTAAGAAACCTGTATGCAGATCTAGAAGCAACAGTAAGAACTGGAATGGAAAAACAGACTAGTTCAAAATTGGGAAAGGAGTACAAGTCTGTTTATCATCACCCTGCTTATTTAACTTATATGCAGAGTACATCATGGGAAAATGCCAGACTGGATAAATCACAAGCTGGTCTGGTTGACAATGGACAGGGAAGCCTGGTGTTCTGCAGTCCACGGGGTCACAGAGAAAGGGACATGACTGAGTGACTGAACTGAACTGAACTGCATCACTAGCCATTCCCTGAATTCATCACGCTGTGATTTCACTAGCAAATGGGACTTTATCTTTTTCTGCCACACCTTCACCCCAAATTTAAAAAAAAAAACCCTTTCAGTACAACCTATCACCACTGTCTGGCTGTTGTGTGTGAGTCTTTAGTTTTAGCAGTTCAAAGCACTATTTTTCCTCTTGGAATAACCAATTGTACCCACACCATAAATTGCACAGACCATTCTATCCACAATACCACCTGTCACAGAAGAAGTTCCCATATATGCATAGGTCATCTTCTGTAACCTCAAAGCAGTTTCATCTGTCTTATTTGCCACTTCCTAAATTACTACCATATTTCCTCAATTCTTAAGGTTTATAATGAGTCTTGAAAATCTGCAGTTATCTCAGTTCTCATTCCACCACATATACATTTTGCCTTCCTTTCCTAATACTGCCTATTTTTGGCCTTCTGTTTCCCCAAGTAAGTTTGATTCAGCTGATTAAATCTCTCTCTCCCTCACCTGCAAACACACAAAATTTACAATCTGTATTAAAACTAGGTTAAATTAACTTTGTAATTCAAATTAAGAAAAACTGTTATCTGCATTATATTAAGTCTTATTATCCATTAATATGATATCAGTTCAGTTCAGTTCAGTTGCTCAGTCATGTCTGACTCTTTGCGACCCCATGGACTGCAGCACGCCAGGATTCCCTATCCATCAACAACTCCCAGAGTTTTCTCAAACTCATGTCCATCAAGTCGCTGATGCCATCCAACCATCTCATCCTCTGTCACCCCCTTCTCCTCCCGCCTTCAATATTTCTCAGCATCAGGGTCTTTTCAAATGAGTCAGCTCTTCACATCAGGTGGCCAAAGTATTGGAGTTTCAGCTTCGACGTCAGTCCTTCCGATGAACATTCAGGACTGATTTCCTCCAGGATGGACTGGTTGGATCTCCTTGCAGTCCAAAGGATTCTCAAGAGTCTTATCCAACACCACAATTCAGAAGCATCAATTCTTCAGCACTCAGCTTTCTTTATAGTCCAACTCTCTCATCCATACATGACTACTGGAAAAACCATTGCTTTGACTAGATGGATTTTTGTTGGCAAAGTAATGTCTCTGCTTTTTAATATGCTGTCTACGTTGGTCATAACTTTTCTGCCAAGGAGCAAGCATCTTTTTATTTCATGGCTGCAGTCACCATCTACAGTGATTTTGGAGCCCAGAAAAATAAAGTCTGTCACTGTTTCCACTGTTTCCCCATCTATTTTCTATGAAGTGATGGGACCAGATTCCATGATCTTAGTTTCCTGAATGTTGAGCTTTAAGCCTACTTTTTCACTCTCCTCTTTCATTTTCATCAAGAGGCTCTTTAGTTCTTCACTTTCTCACATAAGGGTGGTGTCATCTGCATATCTGAGGTTATTGATATTTCTCCCGGCAATCTTGATTCCGGCTTGTGCTTCCTCCAACCCAGCATTTCTCATGATGTACTCTGCATATAAGTTAAATAAGCAGGGTGACAATATACAGCTTTGACATACTCCTTATCCTATTTGGAACCAGTCTGCAGTTCCACATTCAGTTCTAATTGTTGCTTCCTGACCTGCATACAGATTTCTCAGGAAGCAGGTCAGGTGGTCTGGTATTTTCATCTCTTGAAGAATTTTTCACAGTTTATTGTGATCCACACAGTCAAAGGCTTTGGAATAGTCAATAACGCAAAAGTAGATGATCTTCTGGAATTCTATTGTTTTTATGATGATCCAATGGATATTGGCAATTTGATCTCTGGTTTCTCTGCCTTTTCTAAAACCAGCTTGAACATCTGGAAGTTCACAGTTCACATATTGTTGAAGCATGGCTTGGAGAATTTTGAGCATTACTCTGCTAGCATGTGAGATGAGTGCAATTGTGTGGTAGTTTGAGCATTCTTTGGCATTGCCTTTCTTAGGGATTGGAATGAAAACTGACCTTTTCAAGTCCTGTGGCCACTGCTGAGTTCTCCAAATTTGCTGGCATATTGAGCTCAGCACTTTCACAGCATCATCTTTTAGGATTTGAAATAGCTCAACTGGAATTCCATTACCTCCATTAGCTTTGTTCGTAGTGAAGCTTTCTAAGGCCCACTTGACTTCACATTCCAGGATGTCTGTTTCTAGGTGAGTGATCACACCATCATGATTATCTGGGCTGTGAAGATCTTTTTTGTATAGTTCTTCTGTGTATTCTTACTACATCTTCTTAATATCTTCTGTTAGATCCACACTGCTTCTGTTAGGTCCATACCATTTCTGTCTTTATTGAGCCTATCTTTGCATGAAATGTTCCCTTGGTATCTCTAAATTTTTTGAAGAGACCTCTAGTCTTTCCCATTCCATTGTTTTCCTCTATTTCTTTGCAATGATCACTGAGAATGGCTTTCTTATCTCTCCTTGCTATTCTTTATGCTAATAGCACTTTGCCAAGAGGACTCACTGGTCATAGCAAATACCCTCTTCCAACAACACAAGAGAAGACCCTACACATGGACATCACCAGATGGTCAACACTGAAATCAGATTGATTATATTCTTTGCAGCCAAAGATGAAGAAGCTCTATACAGTCAGCAAAAACAAGACTGGGAGCTGACTGTGGCTCAGATCATGAACTCCTTATTGCCAAATTCAGACTTAAATTGAAGAAAGTAGGGAAAACCACTAGACCATTCATGTATGACCTAAATCAAATCCCTAACGATTATACAGCAGAAGTGAGAAATAGATTTAAGGGACTAGATCTGATAGACAGAGTGCCTGATGAATTATGAACAGAGGTTTGTGACATTGTACACAAGACAGGGATCAAGACCAATCCCAAGAAAAAAAAATGCAAAAAAGAAACGGGGCCACGCTTACACTTTGACAAGATCCCTCCCATCTCCAACAAGACATGCTAAAAAACCATTTGTATTAAACTCATTTGCTAAGAAAAAGTGACATAACCTGAGTGAGAAGTCCCAGCATAATTTAAACCTGAGATATACTTCAAGCCATGCTTCAAAATAAACTAGATTGTATTTATCAAAGAAGCAAACTGTTCTAGATAGCTGTAATTCAAATAAGGCTCACTCAGGACTCTAACATGTTTTTGATGGAATGAAATGTGATTTGGTTAACAATGCCAAGAAGGCACAAAGAGAAATACTTTAAATTATCAAGATGCCAGGTCTTTTTGGAGAGTGCTCTTTTTGTCAAATTAATATCAAAGAAAAGATTGAATACATTTTTCCAAGGAGCCTAAGTTAATCGTTGTGCACTACATATGCCAAAGATTTATGAGTGAAACTTGAAAATAGTCATGCTAAGAGATTGAAGCCTGGTTTCTAGTCTTTTTTCTGTGACTTGAAGAGCTGTATGATCACAGACAAATCATTTCAGCTCCCTGGGACTTAGTTTTTCACCTTTAAAATCAGTGTTGGAATAAAAATTTATTTATCTATCTACTAAATCTAATCATCAACACACAAGTCTATGAAGTCTAAACTATTCCTAGGAACAGCATCATAACTGAAAGGTTATCAAGTCACTATAACATCAAATTAATTCATGAAGTGTAAGCAAGGCAAATTCTAATAAAACTAGCTGATTTTCACAACATATTCTAAAAACACCCAGAAGTATTCTAAGATATTCTTTTCTAAAAGGAAACTTTAAAGAGTATCATAACTCATCCTAGAAAAGTCAGGTCATAAAATACAGAGGAAAAATCCAAACCATAAAATATACTCAGTTCCTCAAAAAAATCATATACGTTTTCCTTAAACAGATAATTTTTTAAAGATTTAAAAAATAAGATATACTCAGTTCTAGAAGACAGTCAAGTATAGTTATGTAAAGGACCTACTCAAGACATTCTATGAAGTTTCTCACTTCCAAATATTTCTCCAAGTAGAAAATCATTCAGATCAGAGAAGAGTTATCAACAGCGGAACTGAGAACCCTGGATTACACTAAGAAAGACTGCCAGCCACAAATGTGATGGTTGCTTTGATGTGGCCATCTTACATGTCACAGAGGGATGGATAGACTTCTACGTAAGAGAACAATCAAACTACAATGATTTTCTCAAAGCAGGAGCACAACTGCCAGCCCTGAGTGGCAGTGGAATCAAACTGGGAAAGTAGGGGAGACAGTTCCTGCGCTTGGTACTGATTTTTATCTCTTAATTCTGGAACCTACTGGAAGTGAATATTAGGACAGTAACATGATGGAAGTCCCAAAGCTCCAACAGATTAGATAAGAGAAAAATGCAAGGCACCCACAAGATGAAAATGTATTTCCCTTTGCATAAAGGACAGAGACGGTATGGACCCAACAGAAGCAAAGATATTAAGAAAAGGTGGCAAGAATACACAGAAGAACTATACAAAAAAGGTCTTAATGACCCAGATAACCATGATGGTGTGATCACTCACCTACAGCCGGACATCCTGGAGTCCAAAGTCAAGTGGGCCTTAGGGAACTTCACTGCGAACAAAGCTAGCAGAGGTGGCGGAATTCCAGCTGAGCTATTTCAAATCCTAAAAGATGATGCTGTGAAAGTGCTGAGCTCAATATGCCAGCAAATTTGGAGAACTCAGCAGTGGCCACAGGACTTGAAAAGGTCAGTTTTCATTTCAATCCCTAAGAAAGGCAATGCCAAAGAATGTTCAAACTACCACACAATTGCACTCATCTCACATGCTAGCAGAGTAATGCTCAAAATTCTCCAAGGCGGGTTTCAACAGTACGTGAACTGAGAACTTCCCAATGTTCAAGCTGGATTTAAAAAAGTCAGAGGAACCAGAGATCAAATTGCCAACATCCACTGGATCACAGAAAAGCAAGAGAGTTCCAGAAAACCATCTACTTCTGCTTTATTGACTATGCCAAATCCTTTGACTGTGTGGATCACAACAAACTGGAAAATTCTTAAAAATATGGAAATACTAGGCCACCTTACTTGCTTCCTGAGAAACCTGTATGCAGGTCAAGAAGCAACAGTTAGAACCAGACATGGAACAATGGACTGGTTCCAAATTGGGAAAGGAGTACATCAAGGCTGTATACTGTCACCCTCCTTATTTAACTTATATGCAGAGTACATCATGAGAAATGCTGGGCTGGATAAAGCACAAGCTGGAAGCAGGATTGCCAGGAGAAATATCAATAACCTCAGCTATGCAGACGACCCTACCCTTATGGCAGAAAGCAAAGAGGAACTAAAGAGCCTCTTGATGAAAGTGAAAGAGGAGAGTAAAAAAACTGGCTTAAAACTCAACATTCAAAAAACTAAGATCATAGCATCTGGTCCCATCACTTCATGGCAAATAGATGCGGAAACAATGGAAACAGTGACTGACTTTATTTTCTTGGGCTCCAAAACCACTGCAGATGATGACTGCAGCCATGAAATTAAAAGACACTTGCTCCTTGGAAGAAAAGCTATGACCAACCTAGACAGCACATTAAAAAGCAGAGACATTATTTTGCCAACAAAGGTCTGTCTAGTCAAAGCTATGGTTTTTCCAATAGTCACATATGGTTGTGAGAGCTGGACTGGAAATAAGGCAGAGCACTGAAGAACTGATGCCTCCAAACTGTGGTGCTGGAGAAGACTCCTGAGAGTCCCTTGAACAGCAAGGAGATCAAATCAACCCTGAATACTCATTGGAAGGACTGATGCTAAAGCTGAAATTTCAGTATTTTGGTCATCTCATGGGAACAGCTGACTCATTGGAAAAGTCCCTGATGCTGGGAAAGATCTACACAGGAGAAGAGGTTGTCAAAGGATGAGATGGCTGGATGGCATCACCGATGTAATGACATGAACTTGGGCAAACGTCAGGAGATGGTGAGGGAGAGGAAGGCCTGGTGTGCTGCAGTCCATGGGGTCGCAAAGAGTCAGACATGAACGGGTAACTGAACAACAACAACAACATAGCCAATTAGCAGAGATCCCTCTTCTTCTAGGTTTACCTTATAATTCACTAGTCTAGGTGTTGTTTCCTGACTTGATGAATGCAGGTCCTCATGACCTGATGAATAATGCAGGTCTTCATAACTTGATGAATGCAGGTCATCATGACTTGATGAGGGAAGGTCATCATGAGATGATACAGGCAAAGATACATTCAGGTTTTTCATATCAGAGTCCTTTCCTTTCTGATCTTCTCCTGAACAAAGAAAAGGAGAGAACTGATTAAATGTAAAGGGTTACAGAGGACAGGCTGAAACTTAGTGAGAAAGGTCAAGTTTCATGAGGGGAATTTTCATCTACTTTAGAGTCACCTCATCTTAATCTCCTATGTTAATCACTTTTCTCCTTGCTTTGAAAAAATAACTTAGTAAACATGATCCTACCTCTAGGATTTTCCTCAGAAAGTGGATTTTTGAGCAGTCCCTTTGTTCCTGCTTCCATACTACTCAGTAAAGTACTCTTCAGGAAAATTCTAAATATATACCACCTACAGAACCTATGCATTGGGATCTATAGAATTCAATTCTTCTATGTTTCAGAGTCTATTTCTTGGATAAAGAATAGTGTGTTATACAAGTCTCATTTTTACATTTCATATTGTTAATAATAAATCAGAAATATGTTAGTGTACATAGAAAGTTGTTTTAGACTTTATTGAAGAATGTCATATGAATCATCCCTAGGATACTCACTGTTGGCATTATTTTAAGATTTTTGGTAATTACTCTGTTAATTTCACTCCATAGAATCTTTCATAGAAACCAAGGAAGTTATTTTTCTCTGATCCTAGAGACCAGTTCCAAATAGAAAAAGGAGGACATCAAGGCTGTATATTGTCACACTGCTTATTTAACTTACATGCAGAGTACATCATGAGAAATGCTGGGCTGGAGGAAGCACAAGCTGGAATCAAGATTGCTGGGAGAAATATCAATAACCTCAGATATGCAGATGACACCATCCTTATACCAGAAAGGGAGGAAGAACTAAAGAGCCTCTTGATGAAAGTGAAAGAGGAGAGTGAAAAAGTTGGCTTAAAGCTCAACATTCAGAAAACTAAGATGATGGCACCCGGTCCCATCACTTCATAGCAAATAGATGGGGAAACAGTGGAAACAGTGGCTGACTTTATTTTTCTGGGCTCCAAAATCACTACAGATGGTGACTGCAGCCATGAAATTAAAAGACGCTTACTCCTTGGAAGGCAAGTTATGACCAACTTAGACAGCATATTAAAAAGCAGAGACATTACTTTGCCAACAAAGGTCCATCTAGTCAAGGCTATGGTTTTTCCAGTGGTCATGTATAGATGTGAAAGTTGGACTATAAAGAAAGCTGAGCATTAAAGAATTGATGCTTTTGAACTGTGGTGTTGGAGAAGACTCTTGAGAGTCCCTTGGACTGCAAGGAGATCCAACCAGTCTACCAGTCCTGGGTGTTCATTCTAAACACTGATGTTGAAGCTGAAACTCCAGTACTTTGGCCACCTGATGCAAAGAGCTGACTCATTTGAAAGGACCCTGATGCTGGGAAAGATTGAGGGCATGAGAAGAGGACGACAGAGGATGGGATGGTTGGATGGCATTACCCACCCCACGGACATGGGTTTGGGTGGACTCCCGGAGTTGGTGATGGACAGGGAGGCCTGGCATGCTGTGGTTCATGGGGTCGCAAAGAGTCGGACACCACTGAGCAACTGAACTGAACTGAAGAACTGAGCACTCAGTTATATGGTAACATTAAACATTATGATTTAGAAATTTGTAACAGAGCATATCAACAAATCAACAAGAAAAAGTAAAGCATAGTAAACAAGTACTGTAGAAATGGAAAAATGCATTTCTGAATGTGTCAAAAAAGGAAATCAAGTAGAAATTATGAACTATAACATTAATTAATTTTCTAAGTATATATTAAGAAGTATCAGTGAAAGACAACATATTAAAACTAATGTGAAGTAGCTAAGGAGGTGTTTAAAGGGGAAATGCATAGTTCAAAAAAGTTTTTAAAAGAAGAAATGACAAAAATGTGTTTTGTATTCAGTCACAAATGCCAAGAATAACTGAGGAAATCTCACAAAACAGAAAGATATCATAAAGAAAAATAACAAATAGAAAATAAGCTAACATAACAGAATAATCAACAAAATAACAAATAGAAAATAAGCTAATACAACAGAATAATCAACAAAATCAAAGGTTGTTTCTCTGAAATCAAAGACTTAAAAATATACAAACCTGTTCACTACACTTTATAATAGCAAAAATGAAAAAAAAAAGGCACAACCACAAATCCAACTATCATTTTAAGAACTAAGAAGAAAATTCAATTAGACAAACTTGATCAAATGGTAACTTTTATAAAATTATAAATTATCAAAATCTACTCAATAATATACAGGAAGTCTGAATAGTATAACTATTTAGAAAGTTAAACCAATAATAAAAAGTCTCACACCCTGGAGAAAAAAGGAATCTGAACCCAAACAGATCTCCAGATGATATTTTATCAAATTTCCAATGAACAAAAATCTTTTTCTTATGCAAACTGTTTTAACAAAAATTTTAAGTACTGGTGTTTCATTTATATTAAAAGGTTAGCAAATCTTGATATGAAAACAATGCATGTAAAATACATGTAAGAAAAATTATAAGCCAAATTCAAAAATGAACATAGGTACAAAAGTCCTAAATAAAATATTACTAAATGATGCAGTGGAAAAAATGCATAGATGAAGATTTATCTCAAGAATTCAAAGTATGCTCAGTTTCACAAAAATCTATCAATGCAAATTGGCATATTAACAAATGTCAACAAAAGAAAGGACAGAAATCCTATTATCATCTTAACATAGAAAGATCATGTGAGAAATTCAATAGTCTTCCAAGGTAGAAACAGAAGAAAACTTCTTTAATTTATAGACAAGTTTATCTAATCAAAATATTGAACTAACATTATCCTTAATGGCAAAACTTTAGACACATTCTCATTGTTTTAAAGAAAATATAAGAAATCCTACTATTTATTTAACATTAAAGACATAATGACTGGGGGAAAAGCAAGTAAATTATTATCTGCAAATATAGTAATTGTCTACATAGAAAATTAAAGAGACTCCAAGGTCAAATACTAGTAATAGTAAGAAAGTCTGACGGAAGAGTTGACATGAGATCAATAAATTAGGACCATTCGTAGGCCAACAACCAGATACTGCAACAAAGGAAAATATGTCATTCACAACAGCAATAAAAATACAAGGCAACTAGAAATAGATCAAACCAAAAATATATAGTGAAAATGGCAAAATTTTGTTAAAAGTTACAAAAATAGAGTAAATAACCTATATTTCATACAAATGAAAACTCCTATCATAATAATGGTAAGTATCCTCTAAATTAAACCACAGATTCAATGCAAATCTGATAAATATTCAAGCAGGATGTGTGGGGGTATTTGCGTGCGTGTGTGTGTGTGTGTGTGTGTGTGTGTGTAAACAAACTAGGAAACAGAAATCTAAGAGCAGGAAAAACAATTCTGGAAAAGGAGAACAGACTGGGTGTATTTACCCTATAAGATAGCAATACTTATTATAAGCTAAAGTCATCAAAACAGTGTGAATTGGTGTAAGGATGGAAAAGCAGGTCAATATAAAGGAACTGAGACTCAAAAACAGTCTTAAGCATGTAAGAGCATCTGCCATTTGATAACAATAGCAGTGCAGATTAGACTGGGGAAAATACTAAAATAAACGGTGACAACACAGTAATACAAAGGATCATAAGAGACTACTATCAGCAACTATATGCCAAGAAAATGGACAACTTGGAAGAAATGGACAAATTCTTAGAAAAGTATAACTTTCCAAAACTGAACCAGGAAGAAATAGAAAATCTTAACAGACCCATCACAAGCACAGAATCAAAACTGTAATCAAAAATCTTCCAACAAACAAAAGCCCAGGACCAGATGGCTTCACAGCTGAATTCTACCAAAAATTTAGAGAAGAGCTAACACCTATCCTACTCAAACTCTTCCAGAAAATTGCAGAAGAAGGTAAACTTCCAAACTCATTCTATGAGGCCACCATCACCCCAATACCAAAACCAAACAAAGATGGCACAAAAAAAGAAAACTACAGGCCAATATCACTGATGAACATAGGTTCAAAAATCCTTAACAAAATTCTAGCAAACAGAATCCAACAACATATTAAAAAGACCTTACATCATGACCAAGTGGGCTTTATCTCAGGGATGCAAGGACTCCTCAGTATTTGCAAATCAATCAATATGATAGACCACATTAACAAACTAAAAGATAAAAACCATATGATTATCTCAATAGATGCAGAGAAAGCCTTTGACAAAACTCAACATTCATTTATGATAAAAAACCCTCCAGAAAGCAGGCATAGAAGGAACATACCTCAACATAATAAAAGCCACATTTGATAAACCCACATCAAAATTATCCTCAATGGTGAAAAATTGAAAGCATTTCCCCTAAAGTCAGGAACAAGACAAGGATGCCCACTCTCACCACTACTATTCAACATAGTTTTGGAAGTTTTGGCCACAGCAATCAGAAATAAAAGGAATCCAGATTGGAAAAGAAGAAGTAAAACTCTCACTGTTTGCAGATGACATGATCCTCTATATAGAAAACCCTAAAGACTCCACCAGAAAATTACTAGAGCTAATTAATGAATACAGTAAAGTTGCAGGATATAAAATTAACACACAGAAATCCATACATGAGGCAGGGTGCTCAGGGCTGGTGCCCTGGGATGATCCTGAGAGATGGGATGGGGAAGGTGGGAGGGAGGGTCAGGATGGGGAACACATGTACACCTATGGCTGATTCATGTGAATGTATGGCAAAACCACCACAATATTGTAAAGTAATTAGCCTCCAATTAAAATTTTTTAAAAATTAAAAAAAATAAAGTATAGGCTGCACAATACATATTAATACACAAACCAGAAAAATAAAAATAAATGGGGCTGGGACAATTGGTTTGCCTACCATAAAAGAAAGATCATATCCCTTCCTCACTGCATAAGATCAAAAATCAAAATATACAAAAGGAAAGAGACTCTTTGTATTATTTCAGAGTAGAGACAGATTTTGGAATCATGAAAGCACAGTTTACAAAAGAAAAAAACTGATATTTGAATATTCATTTAAAAGTATCAAAAAATAAGCATTTACTAGGGGAAAATGATATAACTGATGAAGAAATTTATCTAGGATATACAAAGAATTCTTAAAATTCAATAAGAAGAGCAACCAACTATTACTGATTTGAGAATAGAGAAAATTTACCTCGTGTCCTCTGGGAAACTCCTTTAACCACTAAAAAAAAAAAAAAAAAAACTGAGCAATAAGATATGGTCCTCTGAATGATGTGGGATACAAGTCTAACACTCCTGATAATGAATGTTAAAATTGCACCATAGCTTCCTAAAGCCTTTGACATTGGATATCACTGCTACTATTGCCTCATATCAAGATTTAAATAACCGTGAGCTCTTCAAACCTAAGAAGGAGCTTCAAATGCTATGGAAGTCAGTTACATGGAAAAAAATGTCTAGAAGAATTACTAACAAGCAATTCATAGAAGAAGAATACTTGAAGACCAATAAATGTATGAAAAACTGTCCACCATCAGTTAATAAAGAAATGAAAATTAGAATAACCTACCACTGACTTTCACTTTTGCCCATGAGGGATTTAGTGCTACAAAACTTATTCACAACCAGAAAATAGGACAAAATACATGTGACAACAACTTTCAGATATTGTAAGATAAGCCTGTAGTATCTTATCATGCAATCAAGTGATTAAATGCTCAGAAAAGGATGGGTTATGTCAAAGAGACACAGGAGTCAACCTGAAAGAGCTCCCAAGGGCCCAGACTGGAACAATTTGAACAAAGTAAATAGCATAACTAGATTATAATATAAATTATAAAATATATATGCATGAGTCCATACTGATATAAGCAAATGAATAAATAAATAAGTAGGGGAGTAGAAACAAATCTTCTTTATAAGGTAATCCCAAGTAATATACATATACTAATATTACTCCCTCCTCTAGGAGGTAGAGCTTCTTGCTCCCTTCCCACCTATGGGAGCAGCCTTCTTTTTTGACCTCTTGAATATTTCTCTCCTCTTCTGATGCCACTAACTATTGTCCAAGTTGTCACCATTTGTCTTAATTACTGCCAATGCCTCTTAACAAGCCTGCTATTTTCACACTTACTATCCATCCAATACATTCTCAACACTGAAATGAGAGAAATAACAGATAACAGAAACAGACATACAGGAGTTCTAGATGTTGGCATTAACAAAGACTTTAAAAGTAATATGTTTAAAGCATAATCAAAACAAATGAAAATCTAGGAAAGGAGCTTAATGAAAGATTTCTGTGGTTTAAAAGGAACACAACAAAAGCAACCTACAGTAAATGTCCATCAAAAGAGGAATGGATAAAGAAGATGTGGCACATGTATAAGATGGAGTATTACCATCTTTATTACCACTTATTACATCTTATTATATTTATTACATCTTATTACCATTTATTACCAGCCATAAAAAAGGACAAAATAATGCCACTTGTAGCAACATGGAGAGACTTAGAGACCGTCATAGTGAGTGAAGTTAGACAGGGAAAGACAAATATAATATGATATTGCTTATATGTGGGAATCTAAAAAAAGGGTACAAATGAACTTATCTACAAAACAGAAATAGAGCATGTAGAAAACAAATGTATGGTTACCTGGAGGTGAGTGGGGGAAGAGTTAAACTGGAAGACTGAGACTGATGACACAGATGTCTCTATATGAGACAGATAACTAATACAGACCTACTGGAGAGCACGGCGACCTCCACTCAGCACCATGCCATGGCCTATACGGGAAAGAATCTGAAAAAGAGTGGATATGTGTATAACCGATTCACCCTGCTACACACCTGAAACTACACAATACTGCAAATCGACTACACCCCGATACAAATTTTAAAAATAATAAAGTAGATTGGCTCTTGCTTTGTCTCTCTCTTATTTGGGAATTTAAATTCATCCATATGTCTAACTTTTCAATTTTACAAAGCATTCTCTTTCCTTGAGAAAAGAGATAATTCACTAAGTGGCAATAAAGAATAAAACTATAAATTACTATAACATAATGTAGTTCTTTTTGAATAGAGAAAAATACATTCAGAATCTGAACAGTTCTGCCAATAAAATATGAGAATTGCTAATTTTACTTTAATTTCTTTCAAGAAAGCACACCCAGTTGGGCCACTTGCATATTAATTTGCAAGTGTCTTAAGAAAATAAATGACAAGTATTCTTCGTAAGCTGTTTTTTGTCCTTTACCCAGATTTTAAAACAAAGTCATGGAGTGCGTAGGGTGTAATACGAAAGAGGCTGAGTCAAATTATATTTTAAAAGATTCCTTTAAAAAGAAGGTCAGAAGATAATTGATAGAATGGTTAGTGCACAGTTAGCTTAAAATGGGAAAAGTATCAAGCAGATTTTTTTAAAAATCAGGTTACACAAAAGGAAATAAATAATCCTGGACAGTAAACACAGCAATGTAAATTAAAGAAAGCTCAAGGCATCATTTCAAAACAAGTAAGTTAACCACACTTCTTTTTGCGATGATAACACCAAATGTGGTGAGATTACAGTATAACCAATATATTGCTGGTTATGTGATTTAAACTCCTCTAATAATAAAAATTAATACAAAATTCAGATCCATCAGCTCAAGGATCCCCATCTGAAGAATTTATCCAAAAGAATAAATTGGGCTTCCCAGGTGGCACTAGTGGTAAAGAACCTGCCTGCCAATGCAGGAGACATAAGAGATGCGGGTTCGATCACTGGGTCAGAAAGATCCCCTTGAGGAGGGCATGGCGACCCACTCCAGTATTTTTGCCTGAAGAATCCCATGCACAAAAGAGCCTAACAGGCTACAGTCTGTGGGACTGCAAAGAGTTGGACAAGATTGAAGCGACTTAGCACACATCCTAAAGAAAGAATTCAACGAAAGAACAAAATCTATAAATATTATTAATAATCAATAATAGTATTTATAATCAAAGGGAACAAAAACTGGAAACAACATACATGTTATGAATAAGTAATATCACAATGAGAAAGAAAGCGGCCTCCAGGCCTTTCAGATTGCAAACAGGACCAGAATACTCCTGGAGTCAGACCTGCAAGGCTAGAACAGCAGCCTATGTAGAGCTCTGGCTTAAACCTCTAGCGGGAGGGAGCAACACCCATACTGATTACAGGGAGGCAGCATAGAAGAGCAACCAGGGGCTAAGCTGAACAAGGAAAGAATGAAAAAAGGTACAAAAGAAATGTTGAAAACTGATGGGAAGCTACTAATGTGTGAGGCACGCACAACAATGACAACATGGGTCAGCTGGGGACAGTTAGCATCTAATTAAAACACTGCATTAGTATTATATACAAAATCCTTCATGTTTTTGTGGTTTTATATACTTTCTAAAATACATAGGTATTTCTGCAATACATATATATTATACCTACAATCAGAAATAAACATTATTTAATCAGAGTGAAATAAAACAGAAGAGTCTAATCCTTGCTATTCTCAGCACGGTGGCTTGTTAAGAGATGCAGAACCTTGGGCCCCACCACAGACCCAGTGAATCAGAATGTGCAGGTTAACAAATTCACAGATGGTTCATACATATTTACAGTCTGAGAAGCACTGCTCTAACTCTCCTGCTCCCCGCACCCACCACAGTGCACAGTGCATAAGAACCTACCAGACTCTGCTGTAGCATTTTCCTGTGAAGACATGTCGTCATTCCCAAAAGAGATGGGTAAAAGGTTTCTCCAGGTACTGAGCCTTGAGTTGTGAGAGTTAGACAGATGGTCTAATTAATATCCTGGGGCTGGCACACAATTGTTTTTAACCTAGTCAAACATACAATGTAAAGGAATTTTAGACAACTCAGGTTCTCAGTTTTGACATATTATTACTCATTTATTTAGTCACTGTTATTCAGCAAATTGAAGGCCGGGAGGAGAAGGGGACAACAGAGGATGAGATGGTTGGATGGCATCACTGACGCTATCGATGGACATGAGTTTGAGTAAGCTCTGGGAATTGGTGATGGACAGGGAAGCCTGGCATGCTGCAGTCCATGAGGTTGCAAAGAGTTGGACACAACTGAATGACTCAACTGAACTGATTCAGCGAATTGATTCTTTTATGCCAAACTTATTCTGAATTAGGTGCTGGGGACTCATTATTGAAGGATAAAAATTAAGTTCAGAGCCTATCTTCAAGGAGTTCATTTACAACCTATAAAAAATCCTCACATAGGATAAACATTTTTTTCTCTTCTAATCTTTGCCATAGTAGGCCTGTAAGATGATGTTATATTGTTCTTATTGGTTAAAATCTAGAGGGTTTTTTGTTGTTGTTGTTTTTTGGTCTGGAGACTTTTATCATTAGTTTACTTGCAAATGAAATAAAGTGAAAGTGTTAGTTGGTAGGTCATGTCTGACTCTTTGCCAGCCCATGAACCATAACCTGCCAGGCTCCTCTCTGGAACACTAGAGTGAGTTGCCATTTCCTACACCAGGGGATCTCCCCGACCCAGGGATCGAACACTTATCTTCTGCACTGCAGGCAGATTCTTTACCATTCCACCACAGAAATAAGGTTACCATAACTGAACCTAAAAGTTATTATTTTGAAACATATATTTTAAAACTTTGTGATACAGTATGTTAAGAATGATTATTTAAAACATGGGAGTAAGGCAAAATCATAGGTGGCATATCCTTTCAACGTTATATGAGGATGGTGTTTAAAAGGCCCTCCCAAGGATTATTTAATAAGAGATTGTACTTTGTACGACTCATTATTTACTGTTGATTCAAAGTCCTAGACTTAGTAAGAATACATGTTAACCTATAAATTTTCATCCTGTAGGGATACAAATAATTCCCATCTGGATGAAAAAAGATAATACCAAAGATTATAATTTATTGTCCTGTTGGAAATAAACCAGGCTTTTAAAATCTGACCTAGCAATCTTACTCTAATACTTGTTCAAAATATGTATAAAGACCTAGACACTCAAAATGTTCTCAGAACCACCTTTGTCACCTTCCCGGTTGCTTCACTAATAAATAAATGGAATAAAATCCTTAACATGGTTTCACTACAAATTTTAATGAGTTACATTTTAAATTTTTTGAAAATTCTACTTTTATGAAGGGGTTTGGATAGATTTCTTCTTGTTAAAAGGACAGCAGGACTTCCCTAGAAGTTCAGTGGTTCAGACTCTACACTTCTAAAGCAGTGGACGTGGGTTTGATTCCTGGTCAGGGAACTAAGATCTCACATGCCATAAGACCAAAAAATAATAAAAGGACAGTAGTGGCCTTGTGACTGATACTGAGGTGGTGGACATAAGTGGTATGCCTCCTCTGAAAATAACACTGAAAAGTCAAATATCTTATTGTTAAATAAAACCCACCAAGAATGACGCCCAAGCTTCTGCCTCCCAGATATATGACTGAAAATATTTTAAATGATACAATCTTTTAAAATTTGTTTGAAGTATAGTTGGTTTACAACATTGTGTTAGTTTCTGGTATACACCAAAGTGATTCAATTATATATAAATACACACACACACACACAGTATTTTTCATTTCAGCTTCTTACAGGATTTGAGTATAGTTTTCTGTGCTATACCATAGAAACTTGTTGCTTATCTATTTTATAAATGTTACACTGTGCTTAGTCACTCAGACGTGTCAAACTCTTTGCAACCCCATGTAGCCCACCAAGCTCCTCTGTCCATGGGGATTCTCCAGGCAAGAATACTGGAGCAGGTTGCCATGCCCTCCTCCAGGAGATCCTCCCAACCCAGGGAATGAACCCAGGTCTCCCACACTACAGGCAGATTCTTTACCATCTGAGCCACCAGGGAAGCCCATTTTATATATAGTAGTTTGTATCTGTTCATCTTAAACTCCTATTTATCCCTGCCTCATCCCTTTCCCCTTTGGTAACCATAAATTTGTTGTCTATGTCTGTGAGTCTGTTTCTGTCTTATAAATAAGTTCATCTGTATATTTTCTTTTGTGTGTGTGTGTGTTAAGATACAGTTTTATTTTTTATTCTGTTGAAGTATAGTTGATTTACAATGTTGTGTTAGTTTCAGGTGTACAGTAAGTTGATTCAGTTATGCATACCTATATAACCTATTTTTTCAGATTCTTTTTCCTTATAGGTTATTCCAAGATATTGAGACTAGTTCCCTGTGCTATACGGTAAATCCTTGTTTAAGACATATTTTCGATTCCACAAACAAGTGACATTATATATTTGTCTTTGTCTGACTTAACTTAATGTGATAATCTTTAGGTCCATCCATGTTGCTGCAAGTGGCATTATTTCATTCTTTCTTATGGCTGAACAGCATTCCATTGTTTACATATACCTCATCTTCTTTATCCATTCATCTGTCAATGGACACCTAGGTGCTTCCATGTCTTGGCTATTGTAAATAATGCTGCTATGAACACTGATATGCATGTATCTTTTCAAATTAAAAGTTTTCTCTAGATATATGCCCAGGAGTGGGATAAATAAATAAGTATTTTTGTAAAAATCAATAAGAAAACAAACCAATTTAAAAATAGGAAAAAAAAAAAGTGAAACTGACACTTCACCCAAGAATAAGTACAGATGGCAGGGAATTCCCTGGCAGTCCAGTGGTTAAGACTCCATGCTTCCACTTCAGGGAGCACAGGTTTGATCGTTGGTCAGGAAACTAAGACCCCATATGACCCTCAGTATGGCCAAAAAAAAAAAAGGTACAAATGGCAAACAAGTATATGAAAAGATGCTCAACAGCATATGTCACTAGAGAATTGCAAAATAAAACTACAATAAGATGTTAAGCGCTAACTATCAGAATGGTTAAAATTCAAAAACATGACAATACTAAATGCTGGCAAGAATGTGGATTCACTGCTGAGAATACAAAATAGTACAGTCACTCTAGAAAACTATTTAGCAGATCCTTACAAAGCTTTTCCAGTGATCATGTATGAATGTGAGAGTTGGACTGTGAAGAAAGTTGAGCACCGAAAAATTGATGTTTTTGAACTGTGGTGTTGGAGAAGACTCTTGAGAGTCCCTTGGACTGCAAGGAGATCCAACCAGTCCATCCTAAAGGAGATCAGTCCTGGGTGTTCACTGGAAGGACTGATGCTGAAGCTGAAACTCCAGTACTTTGGCCACCTCATGCAAAGAGTTGACTCATTGGAAAAGACCCTGACGCTGGGAGGGATTGGGGGCAGGAGGAGAAGGGGACGACAGAAGATGAGATGGCTGGATAGCATCACCGACTCGATGGACATGAGTTTGAGTAAACTCCGGGAGTTGGTGATGGACAGGGAGGCCTGGCGTGCTGTAATTCATGGGGTGGCAAAGAGCCAGACACGACTGAGTTACTGAACTGAACTGAACAAAGCTTAAAATAGTATTGCCATATGATCCAGCAATTGTTCTCCTAGTTATTTACCCAATTGATCTGCAACTATGTCCACACAAAAACACGCATTCAAATGACTATAGTTGGTTTATTCATAATCAGCAAAAACTGGAAGTAATCAAGATGTAATTCAACAGTGGAATGGATAAACTATAGGATATCTACAATGAAATATTATTCAGTGATAAAAAGAAATAATTTATCTAGCCAGAAATAGATATGGAGGAATCTTAAGTGAATGTTGCTCTGGGAAAAAAAGCCAGTCTGAAAAAGTATGATTCCAGATTGGCAGTATGATTCCAACTCTATGATAAGGCCTTTATCAGGTATGTGTTTTGCAAACATTTTCTCCTGATGTACAACTTGCCTATTTTTTTAACATATCTTTCACATTAGTTTTTAATTTTAATAAAGTCCAGTTTGTAAGTTTTTTCTTCTTTCTTTTGGTGTTGTGTCTAAAAATTCATTGCCAAAACCAAGGTCATCTAGATTTCTCCTATGCGACTGTACCCTTTAAAGAGCTATTTTAAAGTCCTAACCTCCAGTATCCATGAATGTGAACTTACAGGGCATTTCCAGGAATAACCAAGTGAGGATGAGCTTCTAACCCAATGACTGATATCCTTAAAAGACAAGTGAAATTTGAACACAGATACAGAGGAAGAAATCCATGCGATAACAGAGGCAAAAATTGGAGTCATATGTCTACAAACCAAGAAACTCAAAGATTACTGGCAATCATGAAATGAGGGAGGCAAGGAAAGATTCTCTCATAGAGACTTTAAATCCAGCAAAGCTTACTGACAACTTAATTTCAGAATTTTGCCTCCAAATGTGAAAAATGCATTTTTCTTTTTTTTAATCATCCAGTTTGTAGTATTGTTATGGAAAACCTAGGAAACTAATATATTTTCTGGCACCAGAATGTTGTGCTGATGTAATAATTACCTAAAAATGTGGAATTAGGTAATGGGTAGAAGATGGAAGAGTTCTGAGGTACAGAAAGAACTTAGATTGCCTTAAAAACAATATTGATGCAAATACAAATGTTAGGGATTTTCCAGGTGGTCTAGTGGCTAAGACTCCATGCTCCCAATGCAGGGCACCCAGGTTCAATTCCTTGTGAGGGAACCAGGTCATACATGTTGTGTGGCATGGTCAAAAAAAAAATTTAATTTTTAAAACTTAAATATATAAATACAGAAGTTAAAGGCAATTTTAGTAAAGGAGTTGGAAAGAAAAGAGGGGAATTTTATAAAAAGAGCATATCCCAAA